GTAAACGAGAGCTTTCGATTGATACCCATTTTTACCATAGCACCACTTTTTGGTCCGTACAAAGGCGATTTTACGGATATTTTACGAGTCTAGGGGGCTTTACGGGCCTTAAACGTCAATGCAACGGGGACCGTTTTGGAGAAAGTTTCTCGGCTGGTGGTAAGGCACCTCTGTGCCGATTTTGAGCGAAATCGGGGGGGACCCCCCATTGACCCAAAATTTTGATTTTCCCGTAAAAACTTTCCTATGGGGAAAAAGTGAAATTTGCCTGCAGGACTGTGTCTGGGTAAACGAGAGCTTTCGATTGATACCCATTTTTACCATAGCACCACTTTTTGGTCCGTACAAAGGCGATTTTACGGATATTTTACGAGTCTAGGGGGCTTTACGGGCCTTAAACGTCAATGCAACGGGGACCGTTTTGGGGAAAGTTTCTCGGCTGGTGGTGGGGCACCTCTGTGCCGATTTTGAACGAAATCGGGGGGGACCCCCCATTGACCCAAAATTTTGATTTTCCCGTAAAAACTTTCCTATGGGGAAAAAGTGAAATTTTCCTGCAGGACTGTGTCTGGGTAAACGAGAGCTTTCGATTGATACCCATTTTTACCATAGCACCACTTTTTGGTCCGTACAAAGGCGATTTTACGGATATTTTACGAGTCTAGGGGGCTTTACGGGCCTTAAACGTCAATGCAACGGGGACCGTTTTGGGGAAAGTATCTCGGCTGGTGGTGGGGCACCTCTGTGCCGATTTTGAACGAAATCGGGGGGACCCCCCATTGACCCAAAATTTTGATTTTCCCGTAAAAACTTTCCTATGGGGAAAAAGTGAAATTTTCCTGCAGGACTGTGTCTGAGTAATCGAGAGCTTTCGATTGTTACCCATTTTTACCATAGCACCACTTTTTGGTCCGTACAAAGGCGATTTTACGGATATTTTACGAGTCTAGGGGGCTTTACGGGCCTTAAACGTCAATGCAACGGGGACCGTTTTGGAGAAAGTTTCTCGGCTGGTGGTGGGGCACCTCTGTGCCGATTTTGAGCGAAATCGGGGGGGACCCCCCATTGACCCAAAATTTTGATTTTCCCGTAAAAACTTTCCTATGGGGAAAAAGTGAAATTTTCCTGCAGGACTGTGTCTGGGTAAACGAGAGCTTTCGATTGATACCCATTTTTACCATAGCACCACTTTTTGGTCCGTACAAAGGCGATTTTACGGATATTTTACGAGTCTAGGGGGCTTTACGGGCCTTAAACGTCAATGCAACGGGGACCGTTTTGGGGAAAGTTTCTCGGCTGGTGGTGGGGCACCTCTGTGCCGATTTTGAACGAAATCGGGGGGGACCCCCATTGACCCAAAATTTTGATTTTCCCGTAAAAACTTTCCTATGGGGAAAAAGTGAAATTTTCCTGCAGGACTGTGTCTGGGTAAACGAGACCTTTCGATTGATACCCATTTTTAACTCCTTGTGACGTCATTTCTAGGGGAAAACGGGTCATAAAGGTTTCCCTCTACCGGGGCCTTTTTTCCCCCTACCGAATCTGTGCTGTGCTGAACCTGTGCTGAATCTGTGCCAACTTCCGTTACATCTGGTCAGCTGCATATTTGTGATATGATCAAGATGCGTAGCCAACTTCCTCAAATCCTCACATGCAGGTGCAAATTGTGTATGCCAGTTAGAGCAGGCATTTTATTGCAACGTCAACATTTATCAAATAAGGGGCGATATACAGGGTGTCCCAGAGGCCTACAGCCAGTTCAGTTACTTGCTACGCGAATGCGCAATGATAAAAATAAATAAAAGCTGGTAATTTATAAACAACATGTATAAAAGTTTCTGATGCATGATGTGATTTGCCCCAGGTTGATATTTATGTTAGCCCCAAAATACTGCGTTAATTAAAAAAAATGCAACGGACTGTTTCCTAGCGCGCTCGAGAAGTCGAGGCTATGTTTTCGAAATAGATGTGTGAAAGCAACCCAAAAAGCCTTCCGACAAGTAAACTTTTTTTGCTGCTAATGTACCCTCGGGGAATGCAATGCGCCGTTATATGGTATGCTTCAGGCAACAAGACTGAAGCCGAGAAGAAACGGCCACATAGCGACACTGGAGTGTTGCAAATCGGAAAACTTGACAGCGGAGTGCGCGCGCTCTCACGCTCATTCTTGTGTGACTCTCAAAGGGGGCCACCTGACTGACGTAGTGCTCTAAGCATGAAAATACAAAACTTCCGTTCATTCTCTTTCACTTGAGGTATCGTTTGTCTCAACCGGTGACATAGCACGGTCATACGACAAAAATAAAAAGCTTCAAAACTTTTGGGACACCCTGTACTTTCCTATACATTCAGTATGCAGCAGAGGTGCACTATCATGGTTTGCTATATCTTTACCATAGGAGCCAAATGCGCACTGCATGGGTGTGTGCTCCTATCCTTGGTTGTTGGTAAACAATCGCGCCGGAGCGGTCGTCCATGTTGATGCTGTCTCAACTTCCTCCGGTGCCTATCCTGCAGCATTTGACCTCTACATGACATTGATCTTGAAATCAAACAGCGAGGAATCGGAGCTAGAGCCCCCAGCAACGGGGGGTGGGGGGCTTGCTACTACTGGGGGAGCCAGAGTCATGGAAGTAGCTCGCACCGCCGAGTAAGCCAGAGATGCCGAGTAAGCCAGAGATACCGCATGAGCCAGAGCTGCTGGATGAGCCATATACTGCAGTGGTCGTAAGACCGATGAGCAGGAGAACCACCAGAGAACGCTTGGTGCAGCCTACCGAATTCTTCCGTATAAACGGTAAGGAATATGGCTCAGCTGTGCCGTTCTTTACATTTCAGGGGCATTCAGTGCTGATAACGTTTCTGCTGAGCGGGCACCATCCCCGGCCGGTTCGCGTCGGCATCCTGTCATCGCGTACCCCTCAGATGCAGACACTGTCGGGCGTTTGTGACCCAGCACCTGACGCTCTCGACGGCATCATTGTGATAAGCAAAGCGGGGTTGTTAGCAGGTGATAAACTTATAAAACAATCATTCGACTTGTGCTGGCGTTGCGCAATGAGAGAAAAGGTAAAGTTCAGCACGCCATACCATTCACTTGTGCTGGTGGAGATAGCTGTTTTATCAAAGAGAAGAGACAAAGTAACAGGGGATTCGAAGCCGGAAGGAGCGCATGAGCATATTCTTATGATTACCCGCTCTGAAAAACGAGCATCAAGCGTATGCGCGCTCACTAATGGAGCTTCAATGACTCAAAGAAAGGCTGCTCGTTTTCAGGGGAAGTATTTGCACGTGACTTTGCTCACGCACATGCTGCTAAAAGGGTCTATTCAGCTCACTCGGGTAGAGCTTCAAATAGTCTCATTGTGAGTCATTCTTTGTTCGTTGCTTACAATCAAAAACATGAAAATCGTATTAATTTCGCATACACGAGATCAATGTAATGCATCATACAGAAAACCACAGGGCACTCCCCTCCCACTTCAACTTTACATCCTTAGCTCTCCCAAGTCAACATGTTGTGTCCGGTATGTCCTGCATGCTGTCCGATAATGTGCAATGTGCATCAAGTCAGCAGGTGACTCAGTTCCGCCTCTAATCTGCGGTACTGTCCCGTCTCCAGCCTCAGGGAGCGGCGGCTGACCTCACGGCTCACCTCATGGGGCCGGATGAGGGCGGACGGTTCGGGCACAGCGCGCCGGCACACCGCTGACGTGACAACTGTGCCGCAGTGAGGCGAACAGTGGCGATCAACTGCGCTCAGCAGACCCTCCGGCCAGTCACTCAGGAAAGGCCCACGTGAAAATACAGCGGTCGGCCTGGGCACCCCTCGAGTGCGGGGAAGTCTAGATTTAGAAACTGCGCGACGCGTCGGCTAATATGCTTATGTATGTTTGCATACGTAATGTCGGCGATGCGGATGGGCATGCGTTTTTTGGGTCATATGCTGTTCATTTCACTTTCAGGGCCCCATTCTCTTTTACTTGAAAGGAGTTGTGTATGTGACAGAACCTGAGACCTGGTCGCCACGAAATACTTTCTTCTCTAGGCGTCTTTTTCCCTGTTTTCGCTGTTGTTTTTCTATAGCATCCACGGCCCAGAGCCAGGGGTAGCATTTTTGGTCCGGACACGAAACAAAGGCTAAAGTAAAAAAAACATGTTAGGTATATTTTCTATGGAGTATGTCTTCTGTTTTCTTATGGATTATATTTTCTTATGGAGTAGAATTGGCACGCACCGTAATGCGCGGTTCTTGTGCGCATGAGGTAATTTGACACAGCCTTTCTTTGGAGGGGGGATCGGCTTTTCATAAAGCCGTGCTTAGTCACGAAAACCATCAAAGGAGGCTTTTGAACCAATCTGTAAGGCGTTAAGAATTTAATTGTTAGAGCGTTTAGTTTCACGGCGTGAAGGCATTCTTTATTCTACAAACCGAAAATATATCGGAAAACGGATGCGAGGTATAATAAACAACCAAATCTGCAAATCTGACTGCAATCAAATTGACCGAATCTGCACCAAAGCTCTAATACAACAAATATCTTCGTATCATGAATTTATTTCAGTATTTCAATCGAAAACAACGTGTGATGATTTGAAAAATGAGGTCTATAAGCATCTGTGCAACCCAAACGGACAACTTTTAAGAAACACAATCAACCTAATTTTGACCAAACCTGCACCAAATCTGTACATGATCTACACCAGATGTGTACCAGATGTCGAGCCGCTCGCTTCGCTCGCTCCGTAATGATTTTTATTGTTTCAAATAGTAATTTTTATTTGGATCTTTTCTTCTATTGTTTATATTTATTTCTGCATTATTTTACGTCTTCCTCCGAGCGGCGGCGTCTACAGTACCGACGACTCCGTCCTCCGTGCGGGGAAGTCCGGCCCGTGGCCGCCATGGACGGCGCTGTGAACGTCGCCGGAGCGGGGGCGGGGGCGGGGGGCGGGGCGCCAGGTGGATGGCCATATAACCGGCTGACGGGCTGTCCAGCGCCACTCGCGTCGCTGGCGCGCCCCCGTCCGCGCCGTCCCGTCCCGTACTGCCCCGTGTCACCGCCCCGTGTCACCGCCCCGTGTCACCGCCCCGTGTCACCGCCCCGTGTCACCGCCCCGTGTCACTGCCCCGTGTCACCGCCCCGTGTCACCGCCCGTGTCACCGCCCGTGTCACCGCCCGTGTCACCGCCGTTCCGTGAGTTGAGCCATGAAGGAGACTCCCGAACAAACGGACACGGTGCCTTCGGGCTGCCCTTTCACCGGCTTCGGCTCGTCCAAGTACCATCCGATGAACAGGAAGTTCATGAAGCTGAAGAACTATCAGAACGGTCAGGAGTTTGTCGACACACTCTGCAACCAGGCCCATGAGGTGGGTGACAATTTTTAGATGGCGGTCCTGCCAACGCCAATGGACAGTGTTCGTCAGTCAACATCAGTTGAAGCATATCGAAAGTGATTCTTTTATCGGTATTCTTTTAGACATATAGGAGACACGTCTTGTCGGAAAAAAACGTGATAAAACCAAGCGATGATTTGCCGCATGAGCGTGTCTGCTGATAAGGGCCATGAGTTGAGCCTCCTCAACCGTTTCGCCTGTGTTCGGTTCTGATGGGCCTATAAATAGGTTGTACTCCTCAGTTGAATTAACGTAATTACTTCAGTGAACAAATCATTTATCTTTGAATCAACTTAAATCGTAATAAGGTCATCGAAGCATTGTCATAGCAAATTATCAAATCAAATCAAATTATCAAATAATTTGATAATATGGGCATAGAAATCGCCTCCCATATTTTCCAAAATTGTATCGCTTGCATTGATCTGAGATATAATTCCCTAATTCACCAAAATTATGTGTAATGTGTTTTTAGACAACTTCGACGAGCTTCTCCTAACAATAATTATTGGTATCTTATGTGCACAATAGCCGTTTTCACGACGGCCATCTGGTACACATTTGGTGCACATCTGGTGCAGATAAGGTGCAGATTTGGTCAAATTAGGTTCCGTGTGTCTCTTAGTAGCTATCAGCTAGGGCTGCACTAATTGCTTGTATGCCTGATTTGTCATATTATCAGAGAGTATCATCGATTAAAACACTGAAATAAATTCATAGAATAAAGATATTTGCTGTAAAAGAGATTAGGTGCAGATTTGATCAAATTAGGTGCACTCGCCGGATAGCCCGTCGTGAAAACGGCTAATAGCGCCCGGTGTCAAGTTAGACCCAACTGCCTTGCATGCTGGTCACTTATCTAGCCGGTAACTAGCGGCATGACAACTTTGAGCGTAATCGATCAGTCGAGCCGTTCTTCAGCTGTGAAACGGGTCCTGTATAGGAACGTGCGTTAGTACCTCAACAGTGAAACTGAAACATGAGAATACATCGGTTAATAGGTGCCCAATGACCGGGTCAAAATTCAGCGCCATCGGTTCAAGTCGTTGCAAATGTAAGGGGGACGACTTTTATTTCACTGTCATGCGGTCACCCAGATACATCAAGATAAGTTAAATTCAGCCTGTAAGGGCTGAAGTTTTCTCAACGTAATAATACGTTTCTCAACATATTTACCGGTGTAAAGACCCCATCAAAAACGTTACAGGCTTGTTCGTACGAAGGCTGGGGTCGGATGGCCTTCTCTTATGCCTCCTGAGGAAGACATGATTCTCCTTTAATCTGTAAAAAGGCAAACAAAGCTTTTTATTATTGCCATTGCTAAGCAAACTTTTGGCAGTCTCTGGCGCTAGAAGTGCTCAAACTTGTTGACATTTTTGATAAAGCTTTTTAACTCAAATTTTCAAATATGCACTACATATATCCCTAATGAATTAGAATTAGTGATGACAAGCCAGTTTGCATTTAATTCATCTATAGTCGCAGTTTCGCTCATGTGTCGATAGTTTTCTGAACACATGCAGCCCTTGACGCTGGTGCATCATGAATGCAATGCAGGGTAGCGGTGATACTTGCTGCTATATTCGTCGCCCAGATTCTGCAGCCAGATCCTTACCGGGTTCCTGCCGTATCGGACACTGTATTATTGCGCCGAGACTGTATGTGGGCGGGCAAGTGGTAATATCGCGTCATCACCCATCACCCGAACCGGTTATTGGTGGAGAAATGGTCACGTGATTTCCGAGGATTGCGAGGGCCGAGGGGACGGTGTTAAAAATTGTTGATTGGTGTCTTCTCAGCAATCTATGGGCTTATTTAAGATCATTTAATGTCACTTACATATAAGCTACCTATACGCATGCAGGAAGTATAGTAAGTGTGTAGTCAGAGGTTCAATTGATTTAAAAAGGTTAATCTGATTATTTGGGGCGAGTCCATGCATATAAAAACAATTATTACAAAAAGTTGCATCCTCACTGCTGCTTGGGTTTCGTTTCCCTCGCTTTGGTTCAGTATTCACTGATTTATTTGCCTTTGGTATGCATTGCTTCCGATGAACACAGTCTTTGAACTTTAGGCATGTCACCAACATAAGGAATGAAAACATCGCGGGTCTAAACTTGTGAAGCGTTCAGCGACATATCGTTCCAATCGAAGGAATGCGTTACTTTATCTCAGCGCTGCCGTCATATTGACAGAAACCATATCAATCCATTGCAAAATTCAATATGAATTTAAAGAAATAACGCGATCTTTGACGATGCCCGGCTTTAACAGAGGCCGTCTGACCTGCTCATTTATTATTTGGTGACAGAATTGAATAGCATTCTGCAATTCATCACACCAAACTGTCGCGCGTTACAGATCATTTATTTCGCTGCAAACGAAACGTTCGTGCACTTACGTAAGAGGTAATTTATGACACATGTAGCATTTTTCAATTGCATTTGTGTACATTTTGGAATGTCAGCATGGAACTTTGAAGATGTGCGATGCGATCTAAAGCATATGCGAAACTAATTATATCAAATATCGGAAATGTTTTACGTTTATTTACGCTCGAAATCAACTCCCCTAATACGTAATCCGATGAGCTTACATATTCCACGATTGACCTTGTGTTTAGCCACACATGACGCTATGAATTACGTCATTTATCGTTAGGCGGCGCGGGCGGACATCGATAGCAGCGCCTCTATCGGTCACTAGGGAAAGCTGGGCTGTAGGCGACGAAATAGCGGCTGAGTTGTCACAAGTTAAATAGGTTTATAGACATCCGTATTGTGAAAAAGTTGAACTTTTGCCTTCAATATTTGTACAGGCAATTTTAGAAGTGCCTTAACATAGATTACAAAACCGTTTAAATTATTTTATTCACTTCAAGCCTTCCCTATTGTTCATGATGATGCGGGAACTATATCTAATTAGTGTTTCTAGCTTAGTAAAAGAACATATTGTGCAAACGATGACAAAAGCATAAATGGAAGATTTTAAATGCAATTTTCTGTAACAAATAATGGTAAATTCTCTACACATCAAGGATTAAAGGTGCATGCTAACTGATAATTTAAAGTCCTTGGGGCCAGTTGGTTTCTTCTTTTCTTACGTCGCCCCAATGGCCACGAATACACTTGTGATAACGCCTATCGTGATGTCATAATGTTAGCTGGCTTGACACACACTATATCACAGATACTTGCAGCTCTGCGACCAAATTTACCGTAGCCCATCGGTATTTGCCAAAATCCAAATCCTGACCTTTAGGTCGCTGACGTGGCCTCAGAGGTCACCAGGTGGCCAGAGACCTTAGCATGAGGTATCGACTATTCACAGGGTCTTCACGCTCATTTTTTTTTTCTGCGAAAATCTAGATCAGGAGTGGAACCGCGAAGGAGTGATATAACTTCAACCGTAATACCCGAAGGAGAAATGGATGGGTCTGGTGAGAGCAAAAATGATCGTCTTTTTATGATCGGCAACAAAGTACCCCGCGGTGCGAAATCAAGTGTCAGTAGCTTCACGAAACGAACTGCTCAAACAACGCATCTACCAAGTTCTTACCTCGTTCCACGGTATACCTTCCCCGTATCGGCTCGCTTTGGTGCCGGTTTCACCAATCACTCATCATCTTTCACCGACGGCTGTTTGAATCTTCGAGTGTTTGACCAGAGCTATCTGCGCCTGTCCCCACTGTGCTCACGAGTGTGGTGTGTGTTTTGCCCGCAGGACACGCCGTGTCAGCCGAAGCACTGCGGGGGCAGTGTGATGTTCCCTCGCTCTCCGGAGCACCAGGACCGACCTCGTGGCACTCCTCGCTCCCAGGAGGTGCTCCTGCAGGAGGCCAAGGAGTTCATCGACGGCTACTACCGGTCCATGAACAGGTGCGACTGAAACTAAGCGCCCGAAAATGTAGGAATGCGTTATTGTATGGGTTTATTACCCCACCATTTTATGTTACCGCTAACAATGTCCCAAATTTTACCTTGTTATGCCGTGGTCTTAGCTAAACTTTATAATATCTCGCACTAGCTGACACCAAAAGATTGCCAACCCTTCTAACACAATGGCCAGCCGATATTGATGCTTACTTTCGCACGAGTTAAAAGACCACTAATATCCATTTTCACGACGGCCATTTGGTACACATTTGGTGCAGATTAGGTGCAGATCTGGTGCATATTTGGTCAAGTTAGGTTCAGTGTGTTTCTTAACGTTATTAGTTTGGTCTGCACAGATGCTTATATACCTCATTTTTGAAACTATTAGACATTATTGTCGCTTAAAACATTTAAAATAAATTTATAATACGAAGATATTTATTGCAAAAGAGATTTGGAGCAGATTTGGTCAAATTAGGTGCATTCGCCAGATAGCCCGTCGTGAAAACGGCTAATATCCACTTTATCGATAAACGTAATGAAAGCTTCAAAGCTCAAAACCGCCTTACCGCCTGAACAACATTCGACTAACACAGTTCCTCCCGGCAGGCCGCCGAGTGGGTTTCACCAGGCGCGCTGGGAGCAGATCCAGGCCGAGGTCGCCAAGACGGGCACCTACCAGCTGACCACGCAGGAGCTGACCTACGGCGCCAAGATGGCCTGGAGGAACGCTTACCGCTGCATCGGCCGCATCCAGTGGAACAAGCTCACGGTGGGTGATGGTAACGGGAGCGTCATGTGGACAGATTTCTGCTCTTATTGGGATAAATAATTGACTGGTTTTGACTTTTGTTTATTGATGAGCGGAGTATTAAATAAACATTAGAAATATGCAGAACGTAAACACACACTACGTTCACATTACGAACGTAAGCACATATAGTGAATCGATCAAGATGTTACGTTGTTTAGCCGTCATATGACTGATTCCTTTTCTGTAGCTGGTCTTGGTATTCACCGTCAAAGTGCTTTTTCCCGAGGGGGCGACATCCCTCATTTTCCCTCACTCTGAGCGCTCTCCTTCAATGACATCCTGTTGACGCCGATGTTGTCTGCTCTTCAGCTGTTTGACGCGCGCTCGGTCACCACTGCTGGTCAGATGTTCGACGCCATCTGCAACCACATCAAGTACACCACCAACAAGGGAAATCTCAGGTAGCGAACGGCTGTACGCGGTACATTCATGCGTGCTAAATGTTTCGTAGCTCACAAATTTAACATGTTTTGTTGAGCCGGCGTCACGTTAGAACGGTCGGCGACCACGTACAGCCCTCAGCAGACTGCGTGGTAGGTATTCTTTTTTCGACAAAACCGGTGATAACTCAAAGGCTATGTTATCAGTCGGTCGGAACGCACTGCAAATAGATGCGCCATACTCCACTTCTTCGATTAGGTCCATCACTAGACAAAGTATACGCCTTGTGTGGCAACAAAATGCAAAAGTCTGTTTTGGGGGCAAATATAAACTTTTGGATTTTGTTGCCAAACCGGATAGAAAATGAACACGATGATAATGCCAATCTAAGGTGCGAAGTCTCGCGCGTCATACTGATACGATTTCCGAATAACCGATGGCATAGTATTCGCGTTATTCTCGGTTTTGTCGAAAAAAGAATACCTACCACGCAGTTTGCAGAGGGCTGTACCTTTCAACTAAATCTTGCGAAACCACGGCGCTTCTCACTGACGTCACTCACACACCACCTGAAGTCATGACTGGTGTCTGGCGGCAGGTCGGCCATCACGGTGTTCCCTCAGCGCACGGACGGCAAGCACGACTACCGCGTGTGGAACATGCAGCTGGTCTCGTACGCCGGATACCGCAACGAGGACGGCACCATCACCGGCGACCCGGCCAACGTCGAGTTCACTGAGGTCAGTCGGCGGGTCAGTGGGGTCAGTGATCTACCTCAGGTGGCGGGTTAGCAGTTTGGAGGAACGGAGTGTGTGTTTCAAGAAAGGTCTTGTGATGGTCCTGATGATGATGATGAGGAGGAGGAGGAGGAGGAGGAGGAGGATGAGGAATGAAGGTGATGACAAAATGAATGAGTATCTGGACGTCTTAATCATGAAGACGACAGGCTGATAAAATCGATGTTGGGCAGTGGATGCACATGTGAGCATTTCTCGTTTAATTTTGCTACGACAGCATTTTGGCATATAACTAAATCATTTCACGTGGCATGTAACACCCGGTTCGGTCACTGTATTCGATATTCAGGCACCAATTCATTAACATCAGGACTCGACATCTTGAGAGGAAATCGGGCATTTTTGCTTGAGTTCATGGGCGACACTTTACTCCTCACCGAATCGGAAATGGGGACCGACGTTCCATCTTGATTCTTGACCATTTTCTCTCCCGTCCTGGCACCAGTGGAATTTCTTCAGCGATTGCCAGTGTTGCAGCCAATACTCATAATGCGCGGAATATGTTATTCGGTCGCGTAACAGCGCTGCCGTTTGGCGCCGTGGCATGCTATTCCGACTGTGGAGTCATGCTGAAGAGCCCCGCTGATCGGCTTAGCAGCCGTAGTCGGTGCTTGACGCAGATTACAATCGGCCGCCTTTCATGCGGTTACGGGCGGGCCAAGTCTGAATCGAAAGACCGCCGGTCGCGTTCGCCGATCTCAGAGAGGGATATTGATCGTGAAAGCCCCGCTTCGGAGGGCCGGGTAGCGACAATCTCCCGTGAAATCTGAGACTATGGTATGCGAACCATTTGCCACCGTCCTGCAGGAGCGTAATGCTATGCATGGTCATTTTCTGCTCGGCGGTGATGGCACGAGTTTTCGGTCAGAAACCGGTGATCCGGCGTACTATCAGTTACGCTCGAGTTTACGACGCTAGTGGATTTTGTCGGCACCGAAATAACTACCAATCGTCTTGGCTGATACAAACCAGAACACTCCCGGGTGACGTCAGGCGTCTAACGAAGCCACTTTTATATTTAGCATACTTATTTATCACACCATTGCATGCATCATTATCAGCGTACCGCTTCAATCGCAACATATCCAAACCGCTAAATGTCAGTAGGTGGTGCGGAAACCATTTATTAATTCACCTTGCAGCTCAGCATCGTGAGTTCCGGGCGGTTCTTCACAGCGGGATGTCGTTCACCCCTGGAAATGCTCTCCAACTCAGACCACAGCACATGCAATCCAACTCCAGACGGTCACTACAGTCTGACCCCGTGTCGCTCGCCCTCAGGTGTGCCAGAAGCTCGGCTGGAAGAGCCCCAAGGGGCGGTTCGACATCCTGCCGATCGTGGTGTCTGCTGGCGGACAGGACCCGGAGTTCTTCGATATACCCGAAGATGTCATCCTTCGCATTCACATCTCTCACCCCAAGTGAGTTCTTGGTCCAAAAACTCAGCGATGGGTTCGCTCCGACGGGTCGTTTGGGGTAAACGTGTTTAAGACTTGTGGGAAGCGTACGCGATACAGCCTGATGTGATCAGTGATGTATGTAGTGTACGACAGGATTGTTAACTGAAACGCTGACGTATGTTTTTATTTACGATAAGTTTTGTTTCGATTGTTGGGTGGGAATGTTTCTGGCTTCACGCGTAACCTCATGAACAGATCAAATGCGTCAGTCTGTGATCGAGTCTGCTGTAACCTCTGAAATTTCAGTCAACTGCTGATTAGAATCAAGCATTGATGCTTTGAAAATATTTGTCACAGTGCTTCCGTTTGAACGTTTTGTCGATGCGAGATACACAACATTTGTCACTAACACTAATGCTTTTTTCTGGAACGATGAGTTAGAAGCACTATAGAAGATCGAGCAGATTTGTTGTGGTTGCTTTTGTCTTAGATTATCACATTATTCGCAAAAACACTGTCTGCTGCTCGCCTGAAATAGGACGCTGTGGCTCACATTTGAATTTTGACGTCATTTATCGGCGCTGTGCGGCGCCTTCATTAGATAAAAGAGCACCCCGGGGCCGACTGAGGAGCACCTCGAAGCTCGAGTGGCGCGGCCGGGCACGTTCGGCTCCCTGTGTATTCTTATCGGCGTTAGTCTCATCTTCTGTTCGTTTCTGCTCATCTCTGGGATGTATGAAAACGCCAGCGTTTGGTGGCGGGTTTTATAAGTAGTTTTAATGGCGTCATACTAGTGAATACGCATAGGTGCTGCCATGGCGACATAAAACGCAGTCTTGAGAAGCATGAGCATTGAGCATTGAACAAAGGGATCTATCGAGACAATGCTTTCTCTGGAAATCTATTGAAATAATTCAGTTTCCGCAAAATCAGCATTCATGTTATCTTCGCTGTTCATAAAAGCTCGCACAAGCCCCATGTTCTATCTCTCTGGCTCCTGTCTCTTTTAGGCTGACTTTACATATCCCCAATCTCCCCGCGTCACGCCTGCCTACCTCTATGTGTGCGCAGGTACCCGTGGTTCAAGGACATGGGTCTGCAGTGGTACGCGCTGCCGGCGGTCTCCGGCATGATGTTCGACTGCGGAGGCATCGAGTTCTGCGCGTGCCCCTTCAGCGGCTGGTACATGAGCACCGAGGTGGCGGCGCGTGACCTCTGTGACCCGCAGCGCTACAACATGCTCGAGGTCAGTGGGGTCGCCGGGGTCGGCGCGGGTCGTGACCCCGGGCGTGGAGTGCGGGCTGCCCTGTCCGGTTCAGACCGGGTGTGCATGAAGTCCCCGGTGGAGTATAATTTAATTTGCGGCAGAGGGAGCTGAATAGTTGAGCAGGTGTTGAGCCTCCTGATCTTGGTAGCTCCAGAGCATTGCTGGATGCAGCATATTTGTGCATTCCATCCAGCTGTCAGCAAAGCAAGCAGCCCCTGACTTTTTATACCCACATAGGATATGGTGCATTCACAATTTACGATATCGTATTGAGCTCCATTGCACATGGACTGCATCTGTCGCCTTGCAGCTGGGGGAGTTCAATGTGTCTGTGGAGTGTTTGATTCACTGGTTTAGCAGTATGAATACCGATGTAATCGCAGCCATTATTCATACAGCTGTGCTGCACATGCAATTGTTCTATGTGGCTGGTTTAAACGGCCAACGCAGCGTGAGTTTCAGCTCAATGTTGTTGTTTAGATTACCTTCAACAACAGATGCCCGCAAGACACCGAGTTGCATGACAGAAGTTGCAGATACGTGTTGTCATATATGTTGTCATCTTAATTCAAAGTTCCTCACTGGCGTGATCTGACGGCATAGTTTGGTTATTTTGACTCGTGAAATATAAACGCTCAGTCTTTCACTTCTGATCGAAACTTTTCGATGCGTCAATTAAAATTAAAAGAAGATGACAGCGATATCAAATTCAATTTTGTCCCGTTTTAATCTGCATTTCAGTATTGCCCAAATAGGTATTGTTGTAAGCTCTGTGAAATATTTCATTTGTATCTGTATTTCGCAGCCCATCGCCAAGAACATGGGACTGGATACCTCCAACTACCGAAACCTGTGGAAGGACCAGGCACTGGTGGAGGCTAACCTGGCTGTCCTCCACAGCTACCAGGTCAGTCACAGTCACAGTCACAGTCACAGTCACAGTCACAGTCACAGGCAGAGCCACACGGTAACATAGTCAGAGTTCAGTTCAGTCGCAGTAACAGTAACACGGACACAGTGACCGTCACAGTCGCGGTCACAGGAACGCTCCTAATACATATATCACTAACCACAGTGTCAGTAGCAGTTCATGCAGTCACATTAAAAGTCATGGTCACCACAAAACTCATGGATATGCAACCACGCGCTGGTGTTACCTAGTGCAGAAGCTCTAAGCAGCAAATGCCAACGCAATTTAAGAATGTGAATCGCTCTTGAATTGTACAATACAATACTACAATACAGAAATTGGTGCACACAGATATATGACACACTCGCACTCACATGATTTTAAGTCCGCTTCTCGACGAAAACACCCGTGACAGTCACAACACACAGTCATGGTGAAACGACCACATTCGTGAATTGACTGAATCTGATGAGCGATTACTACCAAAGATCAAATTCACTTCCCCTATAAGCTTTTATTTAACTGTAAGACACCAAATATGCTACCTTCTAGTCGTCCCTCATACCGTATAAAGCGTCTAGGCCTGGCTACGCTCGGTGGAAAAGATACCAAGTGTTCGCGACGCGAACTCTTGTCTGCTCGGCAAATGGGCCATATCGGTACGATCTCCACGTGCTAAGAAACCTGTCCGTCTGCAGAGGGTCGTCGCAACCACTGAGCTAACAGGTTCTGTTGCTTCCCTACTCCACCCTGTAGCTTCACTCCCCCCCCCCCCGCACTGGACCAGGCCACCAGGTCGCTTACGTCAGTGAGCATTCTTGTGAATACCCAATCACTTTCGAGGCTTAAAGCACTTCCTCAGCTGGTGACTGGGCCGTCAATCGCACGCACGCACGCACGCCAATTCACGATGAAGTTAGAAGGATTTGACATATTTCATTCGTGCTTATGAGTTCCACCTTCGTAAATACACATGCCCACATGCATCCGACATTCTCCAATAACCACACCTTTCCCAAAAAATATGACGTCACTGGCTCCGATCTAATGACGTCACTGGTCCGCCCGCCGCCCGCAGGAGGCGAACGTGACGATTGTGGACCACCACACGGCGGCCGACTCGTTCATGAAGTTCATGGAGAACGAGCAGCGTCTGCGCGGCGGCTGCCCGGCCGACTGGGTGTGGATCGTGCCACCCATGTCCGGATCGGTCACCCCCGTCTTCCACCAGGAGATGTCGCGCTACATCGTCAAGCCGACCTACTCGTATCAGGTAGGGACTCCTGATTCTGCTGATGATCTTGTAGCTGACCTTGCTGTGCATCTTTCTGCTCTTGCTGTTGCATCTTTGCTCATGACTCCCGCAATTCCGTCTGGTGCTGCTGCTGCGGCGGTGGTTTATCATCCTGACACGTCTCCGATTGCTGATGCTTAATGATACTTCGCTTGTTCCTTCTGCGTCACATTCGCAACTCCTTTGCGATAGCTATTATCGGCCCTGCTTTTGCCGTTGGTGTTTCTGAACTGCACCATAACTTACGAGTAGGAGATGTTGGAATTTGGATATCTTACGCTAAGCGTCATACCGCCTACCTCAAGTTCAGATGTTATCATTTGAAACGGCATAAGGAGGCTGTGCAGTTCAGCAGCAATTTTATGGCGATGGCGACTTATGCTTGATAACGTCTGTCAGCTATGGAGACCTTATCTGTCAGGCTTGGTTTCTAGAATTATTTCTGCCTGCAGTGAAACGTAAAACTTCTTGGAACTGTCGCAAACTATGCATAGCTAATTAGAGAGTCATGCTACATCTTTCTAGCCTCCCATGTCTGCAAGGCCATATTGATCTCACCGGTCGACTTTTCGTCTGAACAGGTGCAAGCATGGAAGACCCACAACTGGAAGAAGCGCGATGGCAGCGAGGCGGTGCGAAAGCAGCAGCGCAAGTTCCATTTCAAGGAGATCGCGGGGTAAGCCCCTCTGTCAGATTCGCCGTCGGTTTCCGATGACCGGGTTCTAACGGTTCTAGCTGGTGGGAGTATGAAAGGGCGCTGGGTGCATGGAATGTCAGTTGATTGTGTTGAAATCCGACTGATCGACTTTTCTTGAAAGCAGATCAATTGAACAGTCGCCCGAGAGTTCCATTTCCATGGAATTGTAATTCCGGCAGCCACACCACCCTTGCAATACCATGTCAACAACACACCATGTGACACGGACTCCGTGACACTGACACTGACACTTACCGCCCCCGTTCTCCAGCGCTGTCCAGTTTGCGTCTCAGCTGTTCGGGGAGGCACTCTCCCGCCGTGTCAAGGCCACCATCCTGTACGCCACGGAGACGGGCAAGTCAGAGACGTACGCCAACATGCTCGGCCAGGTCTTCAGCCACGCCTTCAACGCCCAGGTGAGTCGGTGAAACCGAATGGTTTTGAGTATCTGTGTGTTTTTAGGCAAGATCGCTGTTTGCTCTTTGCAGGAAGTTTATGAAGAATAGTGACAAAACTGTAGAACTATTCTTTTATTATCTATATGTATTTCAGTTTTCAACTATGACCTTAGGCTTTTGATAGGGCGGCATTATAGTTTCAACATTTTGTAACTCCTCGCGATATCATACAGTGTGCGTTGAGTTCCCAATACAGTTCAGCTATCTGGTCCGCAGTGACCGTTTTCCAGTCTGAGCATCACACTAGACCGCGAATCACATCCGTTTTATATCGCGCAGAACGGGACCGTCTCGTCGACATTCAGCATTTACAGGTAACAGGTTTTTCCACCGCCGCGCTAACCAGATTGTCGGCCTCTCAGCTATCGAGTTAGAGCGGCCAGCGTGGGCTGTCCATCTGGCCAATGACATTAGTTCGGACTCTGCCGCCCCACGCACAAGACTCGTTTCCGCTCCGCCCCTCTTATGGCTCAATGGGATGGACGCTGGAGCTTTGTGGCTTCTATGGTCCACCAGCTGGCCCACGAGGCGATTTTAGTCGTCACATGTCTACCTAATAGCCGTTTTCACGACGGGCTATCTGGCGAATGCACAAACTTTGACCTAATCTGCACCAAATCTCTTTTACAACAAAAAGCTTTATATCATGAATGTGTTCCAGTTATTGTCTGATAATTTGAAAAGCAGGTAGGTATACGAGTAAAATCGGCGTTTAGCGCAGCTAGGAGCTTTTTCCAATCGTATACGAGCGAAAAATTTTGTGGTACCGTGACTTCTCTGTTTGGCCCTCTAGGGGCAATGAACCAGCGCGCGGCCGCTGCGCAGCCAAGACGTCCGTCGCGGTCACGTGACTTCGGCTAGGGGACGCGCGCCCGCGATAACGTCGTGTCCCATTTCTGCCTGGTCTGTCTGGCGACACAGGCGTTGCCGTCCGCCTCCCCACCGCCGCCATGTCATGTTATTCGCTTGCCGCGTGTTATACCTCATCGGGCTGTCACCTCACCCAAAGACGCTGTTTTCGTGAGAATATAGCCCCGAATAACTTTCGCACCGTCTTTGCTAGCGCGTAGCAGCATTGAAAAAGCAACTGTGCAGCCCAAACTGACAACTTTTAAGAAACACAATGAACCAAGTTTGACCAAATCTGCTCCAAATGCGCGCCAAATATGTACCAGATATGTGTCGTGAAAACGGCTAATATTTAATGTAAGATAATGTACCGACCAATATATCCAATAGCGGACCATGATGATTGATTATGAGAGAGTAGCGACCGTTTATCGGCACACAAGTGCGCAGTATGACCTTGTTCAATCACCCGCCCCCCCCCCCCCCCCATAGGACTCCTACAAAGCACTGAGTCTGCGCAACAAACCGTGCTTAGCGTGCATACTGCATGCTTTACACATTGAACTGGTCACGAACATGCAAAAACCCGTCGGCAGAAATGCAAATTCTATCCACAAATGTGAACAGGGCAGCGGTTACGTCAATCTGAGTAGCCGACGATAGGTTGACACTCCTCTCGTCCGATGTAAGAGTCTGAGTATCTTATGGTTCATGTTATGTCAGAACGTAAGATTTACATTCCAGCATCATAAATCCTTCATAAAAATGCCGCTTCTTTTAAAAATTGATAGGCACTGGATCTCTGACCTCTTTCACTTGTCGCTACGATGCCATGGACCTGCAGGCAGATAACTTCTCATAAGTCAGCATCCGATAAGGATACATTTTTCCAGAGCCATTGGTATCGGCTGTTGGCTGCACCGATAGGACAGCAGCTATACGAGTGATCATGCGGTTGGATGTAAAAGTGGCTGCCATTGTAGCAAATGTCAATATATACGCGGAATGTATACGTATACGCGTATACATGCAATACATACACGGAAGCGGTACGGATATCCGTTATTTACGCGTATGTAGAGTACAGGGAGTTGGTGCATCGGTGGCGCCGTGGTCACTACCTTACAAATGAATATGGATGGAGATTGAGCGTCGAAGATGAAGACCGATCAAAATCCATTAGTGCTGCGAAGAAGGCATTAAGCACGTATGCAGAAGCTGTGACCGCATATATTGTGATAGTGTATCCATGACAGTCAATTTATTTTGGTCCCCACGGAGACTCGAGTTATGCGTGTGCTAGTCAGACCTGACCTGTGCCGCTACCATAGGTGATGTGTATGGACGACTACGACATCGTCGACCTCGAGCACGAGGGCCTGCTGCTCGTGGTGACCTCCACATTCGGAAACGGAGACGCCCCGGAGAACGGAGAGATATTCTTCAAGGCGCTGGTACGTAACAGGGAGTCACTGATGAAAGGTGTTTTGCTATGATTTGGGACCGATACGGTGAGCTCCTATCGTTTAATCCCGAAGGGAAGGGTAGTGTTCATATGACATATTGAAACTGGATTATTGCTACATAAACTTTGATATTTATTATATAGGCTTTTTTTGCATAATTTCTTATGTTTTTTTTTAATCGCTAATTCACGTCTCTCAGTTTTGTTAATTTTGTTGTTTCTCTAAACTTCTTACTTTCAAATATTTTCACTTTTGTAAACTACGCCTAATTAGTAGGTATGTGAGTATGTGAGCCTGACCTACGGCTCTGACCGTCTACAGCAAAACATGGCAGAGGAGTACCACCTGATGATGTCGTCCACCAATACGCTGGACAGCGTGCCCGACATCAAGAAACCCTTCAACCCCGCGCAGAGGTGAGACGCCACATCGCGTCGTCTAGGCTTGACACGGAAAACCTGCATTAGAAGTGTGACGTGATGAATTAATAATGCCGTCAAGTTTTAACATTGTTAACTCCTGTTTGATTCAAAGATCAATGGTATTTGTGCTGTGAAATCTCTTATTTAAAAACAATTGCTTTTTATTGAACTTCAAATTCTGGCAATCGGCATTTCATTTTTTTCAGTGGCTTTCCGTTGACATTTTCTGCTGCAATGACAACTATTGCTCCTCCCCACGTCTCTCTCAGGATCGTGCCGGTGGGTCAGTTCGCCCGCTCCCAATCGACCCCCAAGGGTATGTCGGTCACCGAGCCACTCTCCAAGGCCGTGCAGAACATGAGCGTGCCGAACACGCCGGACCGCACCGGACAGAACGGAGACTGGCAGCGCTGGCCGTCCGTCTACAGCGAGGCGCCCGCCGGCAGTCTGGCCAACGTCAGGTACTGGAGGGTGATCGAAGGTGGCAGTGCCGCTGTCTTTTAGTTTTGGGCGGTGTCACTGTGTATAAGAAAAATTGTTTGTGGTCTGTGGAGCTTTATGGTGTTTTTACCTTTTTTCGACTATTTTATGCGACTTTAATTATATTCATTCAGTTTACAAGTACCTTGTGCTTGTGCTCTTCTCGCTATAGCGTCGATCATATTTAACGCATTTTTTCGATCATGATATTGTGATGAACATTATTTCTTATTGAAACAGTGACAATGTAGTGGCCAATAAAGAATCTACACCCTGCACCCAGTAATCATCCTCACTTTTCCCCAGGTTCGCCGTGTTCGCGCTGGGCTCGAGCGCCTACCCCAAGTACTGTCAGTTCGGAAAGGACGTCGATAGCCTGCTGGGCCACCTCTCCGGGGAGAGGATCGAGCCCGTCGCCTGCGGAGACGAACTCAACGGACAGGAGCAGAGCTTCAAGGAGTGGGCCGCCGACGTCTTCAAGGTGGGTTATTCGATGAATTGGAAAGTGATGCCTCATACATTTATTTTTCGGTATGATTCTAGACCTTTTGCTATGAATGATTTCAAGCTTTTTTCCAAGCATTTGAACCCTTTTGTTACATTCGCCCCATGCATCTATTTCACCTGAGTGTTAGGTAGGTATATCGTTTTTGTATATTGCTTATTGCGACTTAATCTTTAGACCCGGCCCTCAGCTCCGTACCAAAGCTCCTACTGTCAAACACGCCTCAACAAACCCACTCTCCGTGCCCCGTCCCGTCACCTCAGGCCGCGTGCGACGCCTTCTGCCTGGAGAGTGACTCGGTGATGGCCCGTGCCACGGAGCGTCTCAACTCGGACAAGGCTGCCAGCCCGGACGCAGTGCGTCTGATGCAGACACACACTGCCGATGATCTGGTGCCGGGCCTGGGCCGCTGTCACGGCCGTCAGCTGATCTCCTGCACGGCCAAACACGCGAGAATGGTGCACGAGAAGGACACCGGGTAAGGAGGGGTGGAAGGGAGGAGTGACAGGAGAGACAGAGGAAGGGCGGGAGGAGAGAAAAAGGAGGAAGGTAGGGTAGACCAAGAAAGAAAAAATCATGAAAAGGAATGCAGAGAGGATGACGGAAACGTTGTGGTGTAAAGTTAATAAGATTTGGGGAATAACAAAGAGTTAATAAGAAAGAGTTCATAAGAAAGAGCTAAAAAGAAAGAGTTAATCAGAAATTTTTATCCTAACTCAGCGGGTATATGCAACTCAACGTCATTTCATCCCCCTCCTTCCACAGTCGCAGCACCATCAACGTGTCAGTGACCTCTGGTGGTAACCCGTCGAAGCTCAAGTTCAAGCCAGGCGACCACCTGGCGGTGTTCCCGAGGAACCGCCAGGAGATTGTGAACGCGATCCGCCGGCGCCTGATCCGCTGTCCAGAGGGACCCGTCGAGCTCCAGGTCATGAGGAAGGTCACCACCCCGCTTGGTGAGTTGTCTAGGAGGGATAAAAGCGTTCGATGTAAGTTAGTAGGAAACATAATGGAAATTTTATAGAACAGTTGTTTGCCTCTGCTGCGCTTAGGCTATGAGTACCTATATTTTAGGAAACTAATCGTTGTGTTGTAGCATTCTGCATTTAGTCGACTTATCGATTAGTATACGTTCGAATTGAAGTTACTGTTGATTTACCAAGGCATCAAGACGGAAAGTGGCACCACAAATAATAAAACGAATGTTTTATTAGGCATCGTGCTGCCAAAAAAGTGCTGCATTCCAGTTAACATTGCAAACTGTCACCCACGTCCCCTTCCCCATCACAAACGCGCTGAACTCACCTATTCATCTGCCATTCACCACCACCCTCTTTACTCTCTCAGGCGTCGACAAGCGCTGGGAGGCGCACCAGCGTCTGCCCCGCACCACTGTCACCGATATGCTGACCTGGTACATGGATGTCACCACGCCTCCCACACCCAACATGCTGCGCATGATGGCTGCAATGGCCACCGATGAGAACGAGCAGACCAAGCTCAAACTGCTTGCCACGGTGAGTAGTCCGATCGAGGCAACTTGGAAGTTGTGTAGCTTCGATTTACAAGACTTTGCCAAGATGTTTGTTTGACTGATTAATTGCTAAGTTTGGATAAGTTTAACCCATTCCTTTGGTCGACTCTATCGGTTCAACCCAGTTTTTATCATACTGATACTTTACTTTATACAAAACAAGTCGTTTTGAGTTTTGACCATTTCTAACGACTCGATATCTCCCTAATTAAGCCCCAGTGTAGCAGCTCCGTTTGATCCCGACTTACCGCACATGACCTCGTTTAACCCCGTCACCATCTCCGTCAGAACGGCGAGGCGTACGAGGAGTGGAAGTTCACCAACTGGCCGAACCTGGCCGAGACGCTGGCAGAGTTCCCGTCGATCGAGGCCGACGGACCGTTCATCCTCTGCAACCTGCCGCTCATGCAGGCCAGGTGAGAGCAACCAGCCTCAGAAATAGACGTATTTCCATGATTGGAAACCCCTGTGATTGGAGCATTAGTTCGATACTTATAGCTAGGAATTAAATAAATAACATTTTAGGGACGGTGTAGAGAGAAATGCCATGCTCTTTTTTAAAGATTTGGAGTTTTCACTGTCCTAACGCTGTGTTTTCGTGGACTCCGCCACTCGAAATGCCGACGGCTCATGGCATGCTGGAGAGCTTATGGCTCTGTTCCTAGATGGCGTTAGTGATAAACGCCTGAAGTTATACTGTACCGCAACACCCAGAGTTTCGCTAATCGCTACGCTCTGTGCGCCGTCTGAAGCGTTACAGCAGCTGAATAGCTGGAACTTGTGGGTCATTTTGTGTTGTCTGAATCGTTGACAGGGCGTACAGTATCTCGTCTGCCCCCGACTACCGCCCGGACGAGGTGCAGCTGACGGTCGCCGTCGTTCAGTACCACACTCGGGGTAAGAGCTGTGACTAGTCCTGACACCTATCGGCGATAAATGTAACTACTTAGAAAAGAATAGATGTCGCGACTATCGCAGAATTATTTCGTCGCTTGTGTTTTGTTATTCGGCAGCTGGCTCGGGTGAATGGTTATCATCGTGCTCGCATTTCATTTATGAACAAAAACATTAGAAATTGCATGCACCTATGCTATCGAATGAGTATAATAACCATTGACGAAGACGAAAGTTCAATGGTTATTGAACTTTCGTCTCCATTTGATAGTTCAAAGGACACCTTCAGCGTGCAATGTGCTCACAAACTGTGAATATCTCTTTCGCAGGCGGCCAGGGCCCTCTTCACTACGGTGTGTGCTCCAACTACCTCAACGAAATCGAGGAGGGCGATCGGATCATCTGCTACTTCAGAAAGTAAGCTAGCCTCGCTTCTGTACATCCTAGGTACCTATGTAGGTGTCCGTCTCATTTTTTCTTCTTTTTTTTCTCTTTTTTTTACCCTGATGCACAGGAATACTTGACCTAATATTCAACTTTTTGTTATTATCTTCCAGTTGTTGTGCTCTATTATAAGCATTTGGAATCATATTTTCGATTTATTTTCAGCGCTCCGTCGTTCCACATGCCTGAGAACAAGTCGGACCCGATCATGATGATCGGACCGGGCACTGGTGTGGCTCCGTTCCGCTCCTTCTGGGAGCAGCGGCACCACGAGAAGAGACGCGCGCCTGGTGAGTGGTGCACGAGAGACGGAGACGGAGACGGCTGAGAGACGAGAGACAGGTGAAATAAAACGGGAGACGGGACGGATAGGCGGGAGACGGAAGTACGATATATCGGATGTCGTTAAAATGAATTTTTTAACGACTTCGAGCTTTTACATAAAATTGGTAGGCTGGCGGAAGATCCAAGATTAACAAAAAGCACTGACGGGGCCATGTTGATATTATCATTGGTAAGCGGTGTGTTGATTGAGCATCAAAGAACAAGCGTAGCGTACCCTATCCGTCGCCCTGAGGTATCCTATTCGTCGACCGTCGTTATAGCCTACTGACTCGGATCACTACACGACATTCCCTAATCCCCCCTCCCCCGTCTTCAGAGGGCACCAAGTTCGGCCCGATGACGCTGTTCTTCGGCGGACGGAGCCGCGCGATGGATCTGTATGCCGAGGAGAAGAAGGACATGATGCAGGACGGGGTGCTCACCAAGTGTCACCTGGCCCTCTCCAGGCAGCCAGGTGTACCCAAGGTGGGATAGTGGGGAAGCGGAGGGTGGCTGGATAGGCAGCTAGGATGTTGGCTAGATGGAGCTAGGATGGTGGTTAAAGATAGGAAGCTAAGAGGGCGGGTAAAATGGCAGCTTTGAAGGAAAGGAAATTAAAGGTGGTGGGATAGGAATGGTGTATTCCTTGAAGATACTAAAATATAAAATGATCCAGTCTCTAACATCATCGAATATAACTGTAAGTTGAGTACTTCAGTCTTCAACGGCTTCTGGTCGCTGCTATGATTCACTATGCCTTGTGGAGCCCCGCCTTCACCTTTCTCTCCCTCTCACAGACGTACGTGCAGGATCAGCTGATGGAGCAGCATGAGGACGTGCTGGAGTGCCTGACGAACCCCAACGGCCACATCTACGTCTGCGGCGACTGCACCATGGCCCACGACGTCTACCTGACGCTGGAGAAGATGCTTTACACCAAGGCTGGCATGGAGCCAGAGCAGGCTAAACTGTACATGGAGAAAATGAGGGTACGTGCTCAACACCGATGGATATGAACTGTTGTAGTTAAATTGTTACACTAAAGTTCCTATGGTGAGAAAAAATCGGTATTTTAGACGTTTTTTCACCGTGAACGGTAAAACAAAGTAAATACCGTCGGTAAAGCTTTTGCGTACATCTTTGGGTGTACTAGATCTTAAAACCTACGGAACCGCTTTGATTCGCCCCCGGTCGAGTGGGCTCAACACCCCTACTATCCCTCGAGTGCCTACCCCATTTGACTTTACTTCATCGTTGGCAGGATTCCAACCACTACCACGAGGACATTTTCGGCATCACCCTGCGAACTGCCGAGGTCACCGACAAAACCCGGGCGCTCATCAGCAAGAAGGCCTCGATGGACAAAGACACGGGCGCCGACCGTCTTCCCAAGTATCGTCGCGACTCCATCGGAGTCCTGTAAGACGGCCGGCAGACAGCTGGCTGACCTTGACCCGGGCGGGGTCACGGCGGGGTCACGGCTCAGAGAGCGGTGATTGGTGGAGCAGCAGTGACAGTGACCGGACGGGTTCGGCCGAAGGTCGCACCGTGGAAATACTGGGCTGATCATGTGAGGTGGTTTGGGTAGCCGTACAGTGCAGCAGCAACGACAACATCGAGTTGAGCCCCATATGACTACCGGTCATACCCAGGAGGGTCTCGAAAACACCCAACGAATTGCAGTATTGTTTAACCTAAGGCCAGCAGTGCGAGTGGTTTCTTTATCGTAGTTTAGCAACTTGTCAGTGACGTGTGTATGCGCAAAGCTCTCTGATCTTCCATCACGTTTTGTGTTATGGAAGTGAAATAATCCCGAAAATAACCAACGGTTATCCAGGTTTGGTGTAGTTATGGCCAGTAGAAATGGTGGCGTGGCTGCCACTCGCAGCAATTTTACTAATATCGCGCAAATGATCATGTATCGTGATTTATTCATGCTAATGTGCCACGTTGCGAATTGTGCGATCATATTATTGTAGTTAGTTTAATATGTAGATAAGCCATTGGTACTTTGTTTAACCATGTTAACTTTGTCTGAGATTACCTAAAAGAGCATGTAGGTAGAGTAGTCGGTGACAGGGGCGCCTTTTTCTCTCTTTTTTTGTGCGCGTTTTTCCTGGGTTTCTGAACGTATCACATTGTAGATCCAATTTTTATGTAAGCACCCACCTCGTATGTTCTCGCGCATTCATTACTCATCTAAAATATTGAAAAGTTTAGAGTTAGCTTTGGACAGAAGTAGACGTGAACGCAATGTAGCAATTAAACTTAACATTTAACAAACAGCGTGTTTTATTCATACGAGGTCAGAACTATACGCGAACCACGCTACACAAAAATTATAAATTGATGCGTGTTTTCTCGGAGTGCGAGCTGATTAGAGAGACGTTTATACAAGCAGAGAGTTGATCGTAGGTAGAATAATATCAGCTATAGTGAATTAACATCCGCATATGGGCTATGTATACAGGCTACCTATGTAGGCAAGAGCATATTGTAAACAAATTAATTGTGATTAGTTATTTCGCTACGGGAAGTAGTAATCAGGAAAATGTACGACTACATTACATCTCTTATAAAATACAACATCCCAGTCCCAATCCTCACCACTACCGTGGTCGGACGAGTGGGCGCGGTGCGGGGCAGCCTTGCAGTGCCGCCGGGGTCGTGGAGCGTTACCGGGCTTGGGCGGTCCGGTCGATCGACGATCACTTTGACATGTTTTGCAACATAAATATTTTTTATTCCGTTCTTCTTGTTCCATTGTGTTTCATCATTATTATTGTTGCTAAAATCGTTAAGTACTTCTCGTTTAGCAAGCGGCGCCATGATTTAAGTGCGTAGCACTTTTGCGCCAATTGCATACTTTATTTGTTATATTCATCTGTTTGTTATTGAATAAATGGTCTCTCTCTCTCTCTCTCTCTCTGTAGGCAATAATGATTGGGGTGGTGCCTAGGCTGTAACCATTTTACTATTTCTACGTCGGTATCTGTAGCATGAGCAATCACATAAAAATAAACGTGACACGTTTACAAGCGTCGTTTTATATTGTATATCCCACAGCAAACTTAAGCGTTTTCAGTAAGCAGTTTCAAAATAGCATTGAAAGGCAGGCCATGGTTCGTCCTCCAACCGGGTTAGAAGATAAGTCGCCATCCGTGTCCTATCTTGTTCAGCGTGTTCGTGGCCGGGGAGCTTCACGTCGGGTGACCTGTGTGACTCACATTCTTAAACAGGCTGCACAGTTTACAACAACTTTTTCTTATTAACAATTGTTTTTTTTTATTTATAAGTTTTCTTTCTGTTATAAAAAAAAAACTAAACAACAATGTCTTATCGATTTCGGGCGCTGCGGGAGGGACATTGCCACGAATGCCCGAATTGTCCCCTCCCCCTAGGGATCTGCCAGTGCAAGTCATGTGCAAGTGCAAGATCAAGTGCAAGATCAAACCTCAAGATCAATTTATGATATTCGGCTTGGCCATACCGACTGACTGGACGATTGCTTTCAATGGGTTTCGTTTTGTATAGGCCTGGTAGCGGCTGCGCACTAACAATAATTTCGGAGTTTTAGCATGCGCCCTGTTGGGCTATTCTCGGACCCTGCCACCCGTTGGGGGAGGGCGTTCCCCCCCCCCCCTTCCCAAGATCTGGAAAAGCTAGCGACTGATTTTCAAAATTAAAACGCCGTTCGATAGCCCCACAGGGAACTACCGTGCGACCAAATTTCATTGACCTAGATGCAACTGATGTGGTCATAGGTCACGCCAAAGGTCGCATTTTCACCGTTTACAGGCCGTCGAAGGCCAATACGTTACAGTAAAAGGCGTGTTTTCACAAAATAATCGATATATCGAATACTTTTTAAAACAACGGTCTATAGAGCGCTCTTGTCTCATATCTACATATGCTTCTGAATGAGGTCACTGCTACCAGTTTACTAGGTCAGCTTATAGGGGTCAGGTCACTTAGGGTCACTTTATGAATGAACCCAACTATACTAGGGTCGTGTGATGCATGCTTTATGGCCAATTTTACATTTCAAATTTATTGTTGGTTTAGGTGGTTTAGGCGACCATTGAGGCCAGTTGTGGTTACGATCTGGTGGAGGTCAAGTCAAAGATGCCAGATTTCAAAGTTGATATTTTTGCATGTGAAGGTTATCCTTTATATCTATTCCATGCAGTTCATCAATGGCAGGGCTGCGGTGTCAATAGATTTTCGGTGACCCCGACTCAGACTCCGGAGCTCCGGTATCTAAAATCGACTCCGACTCCGACTCGAACTCCGGCAAGAACTGTCGACTTCGACCGACTCCGACTGCAACTCCGAGTCTGACTCCGCAGCCCTGGTCACGGGGAATACAATGATGATATTTTTACGCTATGTGGCCTAGAACGGCCAAAAATTGAGCTCGAAAATTTGACGTCATCCATTTTGAGCAGTTATCTTCTTTTTTCGCCATAACTTTGCAAAAAATGGAGGTAGCGAGTTCAAGTTTGGCATGTTGATTGGCAACCTTCATTTTTAACCTTTTTTTTAAAGATTAACCCTCGCCGGCACAGGCCATTTTGCGTCCTTCGACGGCACAATACTCGCGTCCTTTGCGTCCTGCTAGAACGTCAAATCTGCTATGGTTTTTTTTTCGTGGTGCTGATCACGAATATCGAGTTAGTTTTGATCACAGATGATGGCTTCATGCATTTAGGCCAGGTTGGGTCAGGTCAGGTCAGGTCAATCAGTATTCGCCTGCCGGGTATTCGCACCGTGTCGACCGCTTCTGACAACTTCGTAACATGCTAAAAAGGCACCAAAACTACTCCGTACCTAAATGTTCAAATGGCTGCGAAGCTCGAATTCGGCTCCAAAAACTAGCCTAGAGATATGTTAAACTCGAAAAAGTGAACCGAGGTCATCAAAGGTCAATGACCTAACCTGACCTTCAGGTGACCTTGACACCCACCCTAATGTATGGGACCAACATCATATCACAGGGTTGGACGCTGGAAACCACGGAAAGACTGCAAACGCGCGGCTAATGCGAGCCGACACGCCGAATCGCGAGTCCCGCGATTCGGGACTCGCGACTCCGCCGAATCGCGAGTCTAATTTACAAAATGATATTTGAAGACCACTGCATCGAAATTATCGCCAAATTAACAAGCTAGAGCCTTGTCAAAAATGCTATGTAAACCGGGTTATTGTTCTCGCCACTAAATATTTCTCGGTATCTTATTTGAAAAGAACCAAAAGAATGAACCATGAGAGAAACTGATGAATATTTCATAGGAGAGTTTTCTTATTTATTTTTGTTTTATTTCACACTTCAAAAAGAGCATTTCACACTTCATATGTGTAATGATTATGCATTTCACACTTCATAATCATTAGCATTATTATGTTAAAAATATGTATATTTAGTTCATATTACGTCATTTATCTGAACCGGAGTGAGTAGCTTTGCTGTTGTAAGATGGCGCAACCGACACATTTCAAGGCCACGGCATCAAAGCGCTCTCTGGCACTCTCTGGCAAGCTCTCTTGCTCTGGCGGCGGCGACGGCGGAGGAGGAGGCGGTTGCTGTCGAGTTTCTGTGTGGGTTGGGTGTGTGTGGGTCATTGCTGGGAGGGTTCGTCCTTGCTATGGTTTTACGAGAAGACTAGCTGTTTTCAAGGCGTTTGCTCTCGACCGGTAAGTAGTAATTAGACCCTTTGTACTGCGTGAACTCCAGGGCGCCAGTTTCAGCGCACGCTCCAGTGATCAGCTGACGTTTTCTGTTTGTCAACAAGAACAAAGAAGGCGTGATGAGTTGTTATTTGAATTTTGGTTGGCAAAAATTTTAGTACACCAATCTCATACCTAAATTTTCAGGTTTTTTGTCATAACTTTTTGCCACCTTGACCTGGCTACTGAAAGGTTAAGTAGGTTGAGGTAGCTTATCTGACCCTGATCCAGCTGTTTGTTGCACCATGTTTAGGCAAATTGAAACTGTTCTTGCTCAATATTGTGAGCTTTGCTCACATTTCAATTTGCTTACCACATCATACATAAACATAAGCTTTACAGTTAGAGACTAGTGACTACAGAGCTTGTGTAAGCTCTACTGTTATGTCAGTGATAAAGCTGAGGGCTGTTCACGGGCCCTGTGTGCGGTCGGACCGCACACAGCCTCCAAGCTCCGCCCACTGCGTCCCTACGTCAGCCTTCCGTCACCGCACACAGCGACCGCTGTGGCCGGTCGGGACTGGCCACAGCAGACCGTCCACCGCACGCAGCCGTGACGTCAGAGCCGCCTACCCATCCCCTACCCCCACGCCTGCTGGACGTACCGCACACAGCGCACGCAGCAGTGTGCGGTGCCCGTGAACACCCCTATGGTCAATGGTTACAGTGCTGTTCATTGTGATAGTTAATTGCCATTTTGTGTTGTTTCATTTTGTCATGCTTATCATTTTTCAGAGGTGCTGCAATCTGCATTACCAATTTTTTGCCTTCATGTGTTGTGTGTATTTATTGACTGCTGAGCTGACACTTCTACAACTGTTTTACTATTCTTCACAAATTTCTTAATGATAATTATAATGCATTATGATCAAGATATAGTTGTTCTGTTTTTAGTATTTGTTTCAAAGAACTTTATGTATATTGCTCATTTGTTTTTTATGCCATACTTCTATATTAATCTATTTATTATGTATTGTGTATAGATTTATAATGTATTCATATGTAAGTGGTCAGATGTAGTGGTATACAAAGAGCAAGGAATACTTTAGCAAAAATGTTAACATATGTTTTCAATGTGTAATAGGTAATTAAGTGTTTGAAAAATGAATGTTATTCTGCCCTCAGAAAAAGCAACATGGACTTCCTAGGTCTATTTGACCCATCTGAGGAGGACTCGGATGTGGGCTCTTCCTCTGGCTCGCTGGGCTCAGCTGGCATGTCTAGCCCAGACTCCTCCAGCCCAGAATCCGGCCTGGAGGAATCTTCAAGTAGCGAGCTGGAGCAGCTGCCGGACCAGCTGCCTCCCGAGCCCCAGCTGGGTAACATAGAGTACAAGCTGAAGCTTGTCAGCCCATCCAAGCACAGGTTCCAGCATCTAGTCACACAGGTAGGTACAGGGAAGAAGGGTTTGCCTGGGAACAAGGCAAAGGCTTGATTTAGGGCCAATTTCTGATCTTTGGCTATTTCGGCATTGCATTGAGATTCTTCCGACTGTACTTGTAGATACTACAAACACCCATCTCATCTCACTTTAAAACCAAAGCTGCAGTACTGAAAACCCTTGTTGCCGTTTTCAGATGAAGTGGCGGCTCCGCGAGGGCCAGGGCGAGGCCATCTACGAGATTGGTGTGGAGGACAGCGGCCTGATGACGGGCCTGGAGCCGGCAGAGATGACCGCCTCTCTGACCACCCTGCACCGGATGGCCGCAGAGCTGGGCGCCGCCGTTACCGTGCTCCGGGAGCGCCGCGTGCCAGCAGCGCCCGGCGGCCCAGAGCGCTGCGTCTCGGAGGTGCTCGTGAGGAAGGTCAGTTCCCGGGGTGTGGATGTGGCTGGGTTGGTGTTTGAGGGGTACTAGGAGCTAGGAAGTAATGACTGGTGAACTGTGTAGGGAATCCTGGATGCTTGGAACGAGCGTTTGTGTTTATTCGTGAAACAAATACTTGCCTATCAAAACGTCATTTGGATAGAATGTTGGTTCAAGACGCTTTATGTTGGTATGAATCTGACACGGCATAATGAACCTCCTGGTGCAGGATTTCTCTCCACCCATTTGGAATATCAACAGTTATCAGCAGTAATAAACAACTGAGATAAGTAGGTACGTTTTGTTTGGAAATGATCGCAGTCAGGGTAATCAGGTCATTTTTTGCCCATTATCCTGTTTGACCTTAGCAATGATGCCAGTGATATCAAATAGCAGCAAATAGCGGCAATGCTTACCTATAAAATGTTGTGGCATCAGAGCCAAGCATCTCAGTATCAAGAAAATCAACCTTACCAAATTACGCCATATTGGGTACATATCGGGCTTTGTTTGAACAGCACAACTTTACCCTCAGTAGTTTGCATAAATGACCCGTAATTTTGCGTTTCTTACGGAATCGAATTCTCTGTATTTAACAACAACACCCAATAACAAATAATATTTGAAATGTGAATTTGCTGAAATTGTATGTGCATTTGTTATTTTAGATCTTTTTGTGGTGTTTACTGGTTGAAGCGCATATAAAGGTATATCAACAGTCGACATTCATCCGTCTCCGCTCATAGCACAACCCCGTTGGCTTCCTTTTTTAGCCGAGCTCCTGGCCTTTGGCGCTGCGCCAATCTCGCAGCATCTGCAGCCGAGCCCCTCCCCCCTCCCCCATCTGCCCAAACCGGGCCTGACCGACGCACCCGACTCATGATACGACTTGTCTCGTCATGCGATACGATTTGTCTGGTCATGCAGGCGCTCGGTGTGTGCGATCACAGGCAGCAGGATCTCTCTCTCTCTCTCTCTCTCTCTCTCTCTCTCTCTCTCTCTCTCTCTCTCTCTCTCTCTCTCTCTCTCTCTCTCTCTCTCTCTCTCGCTCTCGCTCTCGCTCTCGCTCTCGCTCTCGCTCTCGCTCTCGCTCTCGCTCTCGCTCTCGCTCTCGCTCTCGCTCTCGCTCTCGCTCTCGCTCTCGCTCTCGCTCTCGCTCTCGCTCTCGCTCTCGCTCTCGCTCTCGCTCTCGCTCTCGCTCTCGCTCTCGCTCTCGCTCTCGCTCTCGCTCTCGCTCTCGCTCTCGCTCTCGCTCTCGCTCTCGCTCTCGCTCTCGCTCTCGCTCTCGCTCTCGCTCTCGCTCTCTCTCTCTCTCTCTCTCTCTCTCTCTCTCTCTCTCTCTCTCTCTCTCTCTCTCTCTCTCTCTCTCTCTCTCTCTCTCCGCCGTCGTGTACCGAGTAGTATCGCTCACGTACTCTGGTCACTCTCTCACCCCTTTACTATCCATTTCGCTAGCGTGCGTAAGACCAACCAAGCGAGTCTTCGCACGATGCGACGGCACCGTACTCACGACACATCGCTGCCGTTTTCGTCAGCCGACCGCAATGCTCGGCTGGCCAGTGACGTCATCGACCTGTTGTGATGACGTCATAAGGCCCATGGTCCCGGCTAGGGTTTTCATGAGCGTGGGGATGGCCCGGGCTCCGACCACGTAGCTGGTGATATTGACCGCGTAGATTGCCGGTGGTTGAGTCGGGAGGGGGAGAACGGGAAGGGGGGAGGGGGGTGGATTGCACCACGTTTGCGCCACGGGAAGGGACTTTGAGTCAGGTGGTCTAGTGGAGGCTCTCGTGATTGCGAAGCTTAAGTATGGGCTTCGTAGTTTCATTCCTTATCAGAGCAGAGTGTGATGCAAAGGGAATCAGATGTAAGGCGAACCCGTATGCAGTTTGTTTCTGTTTTATGCCACACCATCGTTTCTCTTCCACTTTGTGTATGCTTCTCACTACTTCTAACCCATTTGCATCGATGCGTAGTTTTCGCTATTTATAGTCACCTTGGTTTTCGCGACACAGCTTTCAATGTTGCTTGTTTCCCAGCCAACTTTCTTCACCATAGGACATGGGTGCTCGACTGACATGCATCGTGCTTACCTAGCAAGCTCCACACCACTGTGGTTCAGGGTATTGTTGACGGTTCATTTCCTAACAAAGGCTCTATTGTGACCTCGGGTGGGAGGGGGTAGAAGGGGGCGGGGATAAGGGGAGGTGTGACCATTGCTCCTGGAACGTGACCTTAGCGGTTAGTAACCGTGGCCCAGCGCCGACGGCTGGTTGGACGCGGACGGAAGTAGAGCAATATGTGGTTGGCAGTGATTTTCATGGGCACTGCCTAGTGTCCAAACGTCCGAAGTTGGAGTTATCGGAAGGACTCACGCATAGGGGATGTACTGAGTCGGAGTCGGAGCCGGAGCCGCCATGACATTTCACCCGGAGCCGGAGCCGTCGCTGGAGCCGATTTTTTTTTTTCTCCGGAGCCGGAGCCGTCTGAAATTTTCACGGCTTCGGATCCCTGGGAAGGAGTTCTTTAAAAGGTAGTAGAGAATGAGAATGTCAAACATGAAGGCCATTGAACCTCGCGACGCTGGTTTCCTTGTTTTTAGCATCGTCGCTTAGCAGTACCGCTGACGGAACCTGAACCTGTTCCTTGCATGCGGGCGATATGATCGTGGTGCGAGTGTTCTAAAAATCGATAAAAATTGACTTTGACCTCTGACCCGCGCAGGTGCCGGACGACATTCACTCGGTGGACCTGCGTCTGGCTGTGCTCGGTAACGCCGATGTCGGCAAGTCAACTCTGCTGGGAGTCCTGACCTACGGAGAGCTGGACAACGGTCGTGGAAGGTCACGGCTCAACATTTTCCGTCACCTGCACGAGATCCGGACAGGACGCACGTCCAGTATCAGTCACGAGATCCTGGGATTCGACTCTGAGGTTAGTTGATGTGGGGTTAGGGTGGGAGGAGGAGAGACAGGTGGAGTGGGAAGGAGGACTGAAGGCTTGGCATGGGGCTGATGGAGGAGTGATGTGGGAAATAATGGAGGCATATCAGAAGCAGTATGTCTAGCGGAAGCATGTGCTTGTCAAGCTGAGAGTGTTTGTTGATAATTGTGTTGTCTACCTATCACGTTTGATTGAAGTGAACCGTTATGAAATACGGTTCGTTGTTTGTGGGTAATTTGTAGAGCTTTGTCTTCGATGTTTAACGAGATCTGCTGATATCGAGGCCAATATCGCTAATTGCTCAGTAATGATCAATCAGAGTAATTATCTTAATAACTGAGTGGGTGATCTGATCAGTTGTGTGGGCCGGTTTGAGATTTCCAGAGCTCACTTTTCAGTCACCACAGGGTCGTGCCACCTGTATAGATCCCGTTATTACTTTTTATAGCTCGTTTTTATTATGAAACGTTGAATGAATCAAAACGGGTTGCCCTGGCTACGACCAATTATGATTCGCCTAAAGAATAGATCGTGAATGACATTGCTGAAAAGCAAAATCGATTGAATTTACACACACTTAGGTATCGTGACGCAAATCGAGCATTTGCCCCAATTTTATTCCATCCATATGTGTCTTCGTTGATGAATAATAGTTCGTTTGAGGAATTTGGCTGTTACAAATAATTCCAATTTCCAACCGAACCGGCTATCTCCCAGCTTCATTATAACATAGCATAGCATGCATGCCATTCACGAAATCAACAAGGGCAATGTGAACACATACCTCTCATACCAAACATTACTGCGAATGTCATCGGCTGGCATCAATTCCCTCTGTTTTAGTGTGTGTGCCAACTGAATGTGTTGCGCCGTTGGCATCGTTACCACGGTAAACAAGCTCCTAGGGTCGGCGACCTCGGCTGCATCCCCCATGCCGAACGTTCGGGGGGGGGGGGTCACGTGTCTCGACCGACGTGTCACCATTGGAGGGGGGAGGGCGGGGGTGCTATCGTTCGGCCCAGGCCCGGCCGTATGGGGCTGATAACGCCGTATGGAGGCAGACGGGATGGTATTGACGTGACGTCACTTGTTGACAGTGACTCTGTGTTCTAGTCTAGTCGAGCTCATCCAGTGTACGGTGGTGATGGCCCTAGGTCCGGGTCAAGCCTTGTCTCTGTCTCCTCTGAGGGAGCGTCATCTAGGCCACTGGGTTACTGGGGCCGCCACTGGGTGCTGTCCGCGTTACGGGGTCATCAACACAGCCCAGCCATTCAGCTGATCCACGGGTAATGCCAGCTGACTGCATGATGGGTGCTTGAGGCGAGACGAGATTAACTTTTAAGACACTTACTGCTGGCTATGAAAATTATTTGCAAAACAACTTCTGAGGTGTCTCCTTGTCAGTATACGCCAACTACGAGAAACACCACGAACTCCGTGCGAGAAATTATCGCCGTACCGGGCGTGTGGGAATCCACAGCTGACTGCGGCGGCGGCCCGGCTCGCTGCTTTACCGCTACCGCCTGCTGCCAGTGGCCAGCCGGTTTGCACAGTCGAGGGAGCGGCCAGCCCAGCCCCGCCCCGCCCCCTCGAGCCAAGGTCACGGCTCGCACGGTTACCGAAGACGGCGGGCGACTGGCTGTCTGCCGAGCTTGGTCCAACTTCTCGAGCTTGGAGGGGAGGGGAGGGAAGGGGAGGGGAGGCTGATGACGCCCCTGGCACGGAATCAGACTCGGGAACGAGTCATTACACACGGCAGATGAACGGTTTCGCGGACTGTTTTCTTGTTTGGGACGGTTTGGGACTGTGCGGGAACGGTGCCAGATGTCAGCGGGGAAGGGTAAAGTGGCGCTGCGAGGTCAAATGTGTTTTGATCTCGCAGATTTTCAACGCTCAAACTTTGTTTTATCGAGTCTTACACGCTTTCGTTTTCTTTCTGAAAGGAATATGCCTACAAGAAAGTAAAATAGCTTATTGTGAAATCGCTGAAAATAATCGCGATCTTAGATACCTATTTGTCTCCTTTACGAAAATCTCTGCTTGAGTGGTATGATCGCCACAGTCGGCTGTAGACTTTTCGGCTCCTATCACGGTACGTGGCCTGGCGCAGGTGGCGTGTCACACATTTCGGGTCAGGTGACGGGGCTCGCCAATCGCCATGGCTGGGCCGTCGCCGCTCCGCCGTGGTATGTACACAGCTGCGCCCCTGTGTGTATGTGGGTCTGACGTCAGTAGAGTCGAACGCCAGGACTGGGGCTGTGTTTTGCCGCAGACTTTTTTGGGGGTTATTGATGAACGCAAAACGTGACCGGAGTCGGTAGACGGTTAGACGGGGAGGGTCGGCGTCGTAAAAGGTCGCTGTTGCCAGGCGCTGGGCGGTGTAATGACACCCTGACCTGCTCGCTGGGTTCGGGTTGGTTGGGTTACGTGGATAATTGGTTGTCCTCCGACTCGACCTATTGATATGTTTACGCTGAACTCTGGTTTGTGTGACCTGTTGGTTTTAGCTCCGCCACTGATTGTCATAAAGAGGAATGACTTCCGTGACCAGCCATAGCATGACAAACTACATAAAGGGCGGCTTAGCATCGACTACTGAACTTCAGCAGGCCAGGGCTCGACTACAAAGTCTACCAATTGACCTAAACCCCCTCTCACATATATCGCGAAAGTATAAGAACGTCATCTACCACGCTCTAACCGTCCCCACCTTCACCGTCAGGGAAACACGGTCGACTACTCTGCCAGTCCCACCGCCGAGGAGATATGTGAACAGTCCACCAAGCTGGTAACATTCATCGACCTGGCCGGCCATCAAAAGTACCTCAAGACCACCGTGCTGGGGCTGACCGGCTACTCGCCCCACCACGCTATGTTGGTGGTGTCAGCGAACAGCGGGATCGCTGGAACCACGCAGGAGCATGTGGGCCTAGCGCTGGCGCTGAAGGTAAGAGAGTGGAGGAGAGAGGGAGAGAGAGAGAGGGAGGGAGGGAGGGAGGGAGAGAGAGAGAGAGAGAGAGAGAGAGAGAGAGAGAGAGAGAGAGAGAGAGAGAGAGAGAGAGAGAGAGAGAGAGAGAAGAGAGAAGAGAGAGAGAGAGAGAGAGAGAAGAGAGAGAGAGAGAGAGAGAGAGAGGGAGAGTGAAATAGAGGGAGGGAGGTGGTTAGGGCTAGGAGCTGCGTTTGGAAGTAGATGTTTGTAGTGTTTAAAGGGACCCTCCCACCTTAACATTAGATTTGAGTTGAGATAGACAAAATGGGGTCCCTGGCTCACAATTACCGGTTTCGGCACTCACAACATCGAGAAATGCCTTAAATCGGAAATATTGAATTTCAAAATTGCAGCATTTTGATTCATAGGGGCTAATGCATAGGAATACCCCTCTGAATGTGTGACGTCAGCGCGGATATCTAACGATTTTTAAATGTTTGACTAAAACGTTTTGTAGCACGCGGTGGTATATGCTGCTTTGCGCGCAACAAGTGCCGCACTTTCAGCTGCCAAACTATTGCTTCCAAATAAAGTCGCAAGGAACAGCGGAGATCCCAAAAAGTGAACAAAAGTAAAAGTCTAATATCTTGAAAACCGGTGAATATTTTTCGGTGAAATTTGGTAGATATTCGTTTTCGCTCTTTCTGAACCGAGCGACACCACTTTCATGCCAATTCATAAACTTTTTTGAAGGTGGGAGCCGGAGGGTCCCTTTAATAACCATGGTGAGTGTGTAGTGATAAGGAAATGAGACGTGCTTGATGATCCGTAATTCTTAACACCGTTCAGTTTGTTAGGCTTTTATTTGCTCTTCACAGTAATAAAAATTGCAGTTGAGGTTTAAAGTCAGTTTTAACGCGCGCCCGCACTGCTCGCTCCTTAAATCTGTTCAGGGGAGGTCATTTCCACTGTTCGTGTGCCTGTAGTAGGCTCGCCCAAGTCTGTTGTGTTGCACGTTTGTGTCTGTCTCCATGGTTCAAAGTGGTGCTGCTTGCAGCATTGTTTGTCGTTTTCACTGCCGAACTGTAACTATCGCCGTCCTGTGTGTGTTGTGTCTAGCTGTGGTTGTAAATTAATTGGTGAGCAAAGCTCCGGGAACGTGGCTCAATAACTGTGTCAGTCGATCGCTACTGCCGGCTCGTGTGCTGCCCCCCTCCCCTCCCCTCCGCCTATTTCGTCGTCATGCTTCTGTGGTTTTCCTACGTTCGCACTTCGCATATTTACAAGTGTTTTGCACCAGCTGGCCTAGTGTAATCTTTGAACGCTATCTCCAGACATGATGATAACACTTATTGCTTCTTGACAGCTGATATGAGCACTAGCTGTACTGAATTGAGCTCTGAAGTGACGTCTTGTTAAGCACCTCTTCGACCATAATCTCTATCATTTTGTTGCGTGCTACGACTTGTCCCACTCTTAAAATACGTGACAAAAACCTCTGTATCCTGATCAAACCACATCCCGTCTTAGTTCTGACCTTACCCGACCTAGCCTATCAACCAAATGTGACCTTCGTTGACCTGACCCGCCCCGCCCCTTCCGCCGTCAGGTCCCCATGTTTATCGTCGTCACGAAGATCGACCTGACGTCGGCTGCTACCCTGCGGCACACGCTGGCTGCTCTGGAGGCGATGGTGCGCGGCCCGGGCTGCGGGAAACAGCCGCTCCGTGTCGTTGACGAGACGAGCGCGGCGGAGGCGGCTGCTGCCCCGCCAGACACCGTGCCCGTGTTCAGCGTGAGCTCCGTGACTGGTGCCGGTCTGCCACTGCTGAAAAAGTACCTGCACGCGCTCAGCCCGAGCACAGGAGCTACGGAGAGGAAACGGTTAGAACAGGTGAGATTTGGGAGGGGAGGGAGAGAAAGGGGGTGGGCAGATGGTGGGATGGACGCTGAACAGTGGACAGTGGACACGATATTGAGCCGCGTGATTTTTTCATAAAGATTAAGCTCGAATGTTTTGAGTGAACGAATTGACGAAGCCAGCGCCAGATCGGACGGTGGATGTGTCATGACTGTCGCTCTGACTCTGGCTTCGTCATTTCATTCATTCAAAACATTCGAACTAAATTTAAAAAAAAAAATGTTCCGCTCGCCTACTAAAAACTGAATCCAGTCTCCCCTACCAACCACGGATCATCCCCGTCATGAACCCCGTACCGGGCGCCGGAGCGGCTCGAGCCTCGAACCCGGGCCCTCACCACCGGATGTCCAGCACTCTACCAACTGAGCCACGGGATGGACGGTCGGGAGTCTCTGACGGGTGGTGGAGCGCGTTTTTATGGATAACTTAGTCGCTTCTTTTGTTGGATATGTATCGAGTGTATGTGCCATAATATGGCGAGCTGTAGATCGGGGAATCATTCGCGCGTCTGAACGATTTTTGATAGAAGTATTTTTACTCGCTATGCAAACGCATCAAGGAAGCTACAGTACCCAAAAATAACCACGCAGACAGTTCACCGTTCCGTGCTTCTATCCTCAGGATACAGAAATCCTTCTCCTCCACGCCGCAACCCCCCTCCGGGCTGGACAGGCAACTTTATATCATGCGGGCTGCTCCCTTGGAGCGGCGCCGCCGCTCCCGAGGGAGCGCACCCAGTAGCCGGGTGCAGCGAGTGCCTTGGGGCTGGGTGGCCTGTCCTTTGGACGGGCTCAGCCCCGGCGACTCACTAGGGTGCCTGCCCAGACCAATGTCTCCCCCTTTACCCTATCATCCTCCCGGCTCTGAAATGGTCTTGCCAGACCGAAAGGGCCTCACCCAACAAAACAAAAAACGCAGACAGTTCTCTGCTGCTGATGGTGCTGAATAGGTCCAGAATAGAGCGATACTGGGGGCAGTGTATTCAGACCGGCATGGGACGGACCGGTCGAACCGGCACTGGACGGGAAGAACGGGTGGAACCGACGGACGGGCAAGGACGTTATCTGATTGGCCTTGAATCGTCCGGGAAGGGGGGAGTGACCGACCGCTGGGCCGGGGGTGCTTTGTTTTGATTCCGGTAGATTCTTTGTCGCTGGCTGTGTTTTAAATGAGTTTGTTTTGATTGTTACGCCGTCAAACCGTGTGTGGAATGTATGTGCTACTGAGCGAAATGACTTCATCTATTTTAGTCTGTGACGCTAAAATTTCAATATGTCGATATGAAATGAAAAGGGTGCTTTATCAATTAGTTGTCCACTGGAATTGTATATCCTGTTGCGTTTCGTGCGCTCAAGTGTCGTGATCATAGCCTTTTCGCTTTCCTTATTCCTGCACGCACAGCTATGCGTAGTTTGCACACTCGCGATACGTTTTTGCGCTCACCACGAACCACTCCCCTCTCTTACACTTCTGACAAATTCCTGAGACCTCCATCAGCAATCGATCAGTCTGGCCCGTCGCTGCCGGCGCCTGTGTTCTGATCGGGTCACGGCGGCGGGCACGACCGTCTGTGTGGGGATCGCGGTCAAGGTCCTTGGTTACGCGCCGCTGCTGAGCCGGTCACGACGAAACGTAACATGAGTGTCTGTTGGAGGGGGTGGCTGGGAAATCCGTCAAGTTTTGTCACATAGATGTTTGAGCCTGTAATGGTTTGTTATGTGATTATTGCTGGGATAGTAGTTGATAGGATGGTTGATGGAAACACCCAAGGACTCGTGTTTCTCAAAATATTAATCTGCGTAGCATTTCATGGTCGCACTCGTTTCATGGCGTTTCACAGCCAACCTCGCTCTGGGAAGCCTGTAATAAACAGCACTTCCCACTACCCAACCGATTGTTAACGTCAACTCTCCTCCACCTAAGCCGTCAACGTTCGCCTCTATTCCTGGGTTCGGCGCAGCGGCGGCCGAGCTAGCTACGCTCAGCTGTCCGGCCAGCCGTGCCCAGTCACGACTCGCGTACTGCCAGCGGCACGAGCGGACCGAAAACAGGTCCCGGCCGAGTGAAATGTCGGCCGCTCGCCCCGGGCTGCTGCCTGCCAAGGTCACTGTACGGAACATGACTGGCAGGAGCCAGCGGCAGGGCACTGGGGGTCGATGGGAGGGGAGGGGGGAAGGCCCTTGTATAGGATATGGTCCAGAGCAGGACAGGGCGGTTTTGAGAAGTTTGTATAGGGATAGAGTTTTTGTGGTATGATTATAGGCGGTTTTAGCGATTATATGATGGCGGTTATAGCGATTAATCTGATGGTTTGTATTTTTGCGGCAACTGGCAAGCCGACGAAAGTTGAACAGTCACCATAGATAAAGACTTGTTCTGATGAGACATGCCAGTGGGCAATGACGTCAAGAAGCTTGTGATAAAGTCAGCAAACAAAGCTCGAGCTGCCTCTGATACTTACGAGTGCAAAGCGACCCTCTATATCACAGATGTGCTTGCAATCCCGGACTAGCCTGGGAAAATACCGCCCATATACCCGTGGTATCACACCGATCGCTTCTGTCATCTTATGTCTCACCTATCAGCTGGTGTTAAACTTGTTTACAGGCAAGGCGCAGTTCCGTCTTGAAATCGGTCCTTGTTTCTAGGAACGCGTCCAGCAACTCCGGCCCGTGTATTTGGAGCCTGTTGCTAGCCGTAGTTTTTTTTTTTTTTAGTGTGTTGGCTGGCGATGTTTCTAACCGGTGGTGTTTTTGTCTTTGCAGCAGCTATGCGAGTTCCAGATAGACGAGACTTACCGGATATCAGAGACCGGGGTAGTGGTAGGGGGACTTCTAACCAAAGGCATCATCACAGAGGGAGCGCGGCTCAGTCTAGGTGAGTAGTACATGAAGATGGATTATACGGTAATTTTGGCTATCTCGTCTTCAAGCGATAAATTGGAAACTCCTAGATGTACTAGTGCAATTTGGATGCTTCGTGAACGAGAGCACAAAACTTTCCGTCATCTGGGTCATGTGTGCTGAAAGCTTTTATGATGATAAAGTAGGCTTTATTGACGTAACTTGAAATCTGTTAATAACTTGTTAATACCTGAAATCTGTAAATTGTTTATGCTTGTTTATTTTAGCCGATATTACTGCTGATTCATTGCTTACCTAATACCTATGTTGATTTAATTGATGAGGCATCATCAATCAATATTCGCAGAACCGGGTCACACACACCTTAGAAAGTTGACGAGTGGCTTACTCGCAGTAAACCATCTACTTTGTCATCTGACGACTAGGTTATCTGTGTTCTTCCCTAGTGTTCGCAAAACGGTCATCATTTGTCATACCAGTTCAGGGTTTCTAACCATTTCCCCGTCTCACCGTCAGGTCCACTGGAGGACGGCACCTTCACCCCCGTACGGGTCTCCACCATCCACCGCAACCGGCGGCCATCGCGCGTGGTGCGGGCCGGCCAGGCGGCCTCTCTGGCCATTGACCGCGACGTGCCCGGACTGAGGCGAGGGATGGTGCTGCTGGCACCCCAGGCGCGACCCACCGCGTGTCTCTACTTCCAGGTGAGCTAAGAGTAGAGGTGAGGGACACGGGCATGGTGCTGTAGTGTGCGATGGGAGGGTGGAGGGACGCGGGTTTGACTGGTTTTGATTTTTACTGAATACGTGGGCGAGAGGCTTGTGATTGGAAAAGCTATTGAAAGACGGTAAAGGTAAAGAATGTCATCCGTCCATTATTTGTCTGTGTTTGACATTTGAAATTTGTACTTATTCAACGATCATATCGTTCCTCTAGCTATAAACTTTGTTAGTTGCCAACTAGTACTGTAGGTTACGACCACAGCTTAGGGTCACTTTGCTTGCACGGGAGACTCTTTAAAGGTTATGACTGTGCTAGGCTGTTGACATTTGGCAGAGCCATAAAAAATACGGTGTTCACTTCTTTATGAGCCTTCCGTGTCTCATCAGTTCATTGCCGTTCCACGGCATTCCCCACATGTCTCTGTCACTGACCCCTCTCCACCCTACCTCTCCAGGCGACGGTGTGCGCGTTCCGGCCTCAGGCCATCTGCCGGCGGCTACAGACCACCGTACACCTGGGCAACGTGCGGCAAACGGCCGTCATAGAGGGCGTGTTCGACTCGACAGACCAGCTGCCGGCCAACAAAACCACCTCGGCCATGTTCAAGTTCTACCGTCAACCCGAGTATGTCAGCGTGGGAGACCGGCTACTGTTCCGGCTAGGCAGAGCGCGGGGGTATGGTATCGGTACGGTAACACAGGTGTTCCCATGTCGACAAGAAGAAGAGGTGATGTAAGTAGAGGAATGGGCGAGAGAGAGCGGGACGCTCGCCGGTCGAGCGTCCCGGTTATATGAGTAGTGCCGTGTTGGATCATATTATGTGTTTTACTCCTCGTTTTCTCGCACGGCGCGATGTATAAATTTTAGCCGAGTTTTACGTTGGCGGCGCGGCCGTCTGTATGTATGAGTTAGTTCGCTAGTTTAGATAGGACGGGCTCGTCGGGCGACGAGCGCCGTAGTCTTTCAGTGAGACGCAGCCGGGCGCGGCGCGATCGCCGGCGACCCGCCACTGCCGCTGTCCCCACTCCTGTGTCACAGCTGTGACACCGCCCGTGTCACCGTCGTGACACCGCCGTGTCACCGCCGTGAAACCCGCTACCTGACTGCCCCCGGCAGCCGGAACACCCGTACAATCAACGCACGGGCGCGAGGCGCGATCACGCCACTGTACCCTCAGCGGTGACCGATATATACAGAGGTACCGGAGTGATCCCCATCCCATCCTCACCCAGCGGACGGTTTGTCCGACTTTTATCAGGCACGCTGCTCTCCGAATGTATTTTTGGAACGGAATGTCGGCTGTTGAGCTGACCTGGAGCTGGCTGCTACGGTATCCGAGGATTTTAACATGAACGTTTATGCTTGCTTGATTGGATCCGTGATTAACATGGCACCAAATAAAGACGGTACCTTTCTGACTGGTGTCTTGATTGTTGTACTGACGTCTGATGATGCGTGGATGCTTAATCCGTGAAGATTTAGTTTGTTTTCCATAGTATCATGACCCCGAAGGCTCAGGTGCTCTTGTCTCCTTGTGAATGTCATGCTGCAAGTACATGGCTCTTTTGCTACCGCTACCGACTACCGTCACCACAACTGTTAGTTGTTGCCTTTTGGAGCGGGGATGACACTGATTTTCTGCCGTTTTTATTTCCTTTCAAACCAGGGATGCGGAGCCGGAGCCGGAGCCGGAGCCGGAGCCGCCGGAGCCGGCATATTTTGCCCGGAGCCGGAGCCGGAGCCGGAGCCGTGAAACAATATAGCCCGGAGCCGGAGCCGGAGCCGGAGCCGTCAAAAAAGGGGCGACTCCGGCTCCTTTTCTTAACCCTATTAGTGGCAGGCTCCTGGCTACCCCTATTAGTGGCAGGGGGGGCTGTTTACGACTCCCCCCCCCCCTGATATCTCGAGATCTAACGGGCCGATTTTCAAAATTCAAACGGCATTCGATTTCGCTCAACGTGATCTACATTTCTAAAAAAAATGTCAATAGGGGGGTAGAGGGGGGTAAAAACGGGCAAATTGCAGATACATTTTAGACTGTTTATCACGGCTAGGTTTTCGAACCAATCTTAACGCAACTTTTGCCGATCGATAGAGAATGAACCAGGAATTCACATGGGTCCTAAAAATATGCATTTTCAAAAATCATAGGCGGATACAGATGTAATTACTAATTATTTCCCAATATTCAGCACCTGGACGCGCCTATGATTTTAGGGGAAAACATCGCTTGTGGGTGTTCACAACTACATGGTATGGTGCATTTGATCGCTTTCTGGCAATGTAACTACTACGAAACCGCTCATCAAATGGTACTGTACACTTCAGTATGAACCCCCCCCCCCCTTTTTGGACGCCTGGATCCGCCTATTATAGCAAAAACGTGTCAAAAGAGGATGCACAATAACTTTGTATATGTTATCACATGATACCTTTCATTCACTGTTCGTAAAACTGGTGCATACAGTTATAATACATCAGCATCGTGATCTTCGCCCAAATGACTCGCTTCACGAATAGGACCCCCCAATTCCCAGTGCTCTGGAGCCGCCCCTGGTAAAGTTATGAACTTGAAATTTTCAGGGAATATGCCCAATTTAGTTTGAGGAAAAGTCAGAAAATTTCAGCATCGTAGCTTCAGCGGTTTCGGAGATATTCCCGAAAAACCTGAGGGGTGGATGAAAACAACCCCCCTGCCACTAATAGGGTTAAGAGGAAACAATTATTTACCTATAGTTCGGTTTGACAGTACAAGGCGTAAAACAATGTGGTATTCAAAATAGCCTTGTTATGCAAATACAGAAGCAACGTGTACCAATCCCATCGCCTTTTTTCTTCCACCCGTATTTAATTGATCGCATGGGGGATGTACTGAGTAGAAGCCGGAGCCGGAGCCGCCGGAGCCGGAGCCGCCGGAGCCGGATCATTTTACTCGGAGCCGGAGCCGGAGCCGGAGCCGCCAATACATTTCACCCGGAGCCGGAGCCGGAGCCGGAGCCGATTTCTTTCTCCGGAGCCGGAGCCGGAGCCGGAGCCGTCTGAAATGTCCACGGCTCCGCATCCCTGTTTCAAACGTTTCCCGACCCGATGCAGCTGATGAAGCGATTTAAATGCGGCTGCAAGCACCAACGGTGTCAAGAGCACTAGTCAGCCCGAGCAGAGCACTGGTGATCGTTGGGGCTGTCTCCCGGCACGTACTACACAGGTCAGCGACCGAGGGCCGGCTTCCAGAGGTCAAGTTTAGCGGAACGGGTGGTGTGGCGACATTGCCGTTTGACCGGCTAACTGGTGGGGTGGCAGGTAACCAGTTAATGATAAGCCACTCGACATATCAGTGAGATTATTGGCATATGACAATGTTTAATACTAACTATGTCATGCATATAAGCGCAAATTTTCGATCACACTGGGTTAATTATAATTGAAAAGTTTACTTGTAGGTATGTCTCCTAGGCCCCAGCACATAAATGATAAAATTTTGTTCTCTTACTTTCTTCAGAGCCTTCACTAGGCAGTATCCATGCAGTGCAAAGTTAACTCTCTTGAGCTGTGAATCACTAGGCAATGCAAATGAACCGGCGAAACAGCAGCACCGAGTAGGAAAAGATGGTTGGCGCGATCTACAAAGCCGGAACAGGTCCGCGCGAGTTCGATACGCGCCCATCTACCTGCAGGGCAACAGGGCTACCTAGTACCTACCCAAACCCGCGGCTCCAGAACGATCACTGCAGCTAACCTTCGCGCTGACAATTGTCGGTAGTTTAATGTTCTACGAAGGTGAACGGACGACGGCAGTTGTAGTAAGTGGTGCGCTACGTGGTTGGAAAAATGAGACACGCTTCGAATGTTGTCTTGGCATGCATTTTGGGCTTAGTCCTGTTGTCCAATTGATCAGGAAGTCAGCGCAAATTTCTAGATTGGCATTTGCTTTAAATAAAATGTATCATAGTTCAGAATTGATAGACGTCGTGAAAAAAAGAGTACCTGCATTTCATTGTTTCTTATCTGTTGGTTACCAAGGAATTGAGTTGAAATCACCTTTTATGCCCAAGTGATGTGATGCAGATCCTGGTTTCGCCTGGACCACATTCCGCTGCGCGTGGATCAGCGCTTCATTCAGGTTGGTTTGCATGGATAATGTGATCCCCGTCGCGCAGCTCACCGCGTCCTGACCGGCAGAGGGCCGCCCCCGGCCGGCAGGCCTCGCCACAGATGGCGGCCCTGTCGAGGAGCCACCGAGGCGGCGCAGCCCCGCAGAGCAAGCAGAATGTTACATAACTCGCACAAGTTAGAGGAATGATGGACACAGGCATCTATTGAACAAAGGACAGAGCCGGTTACGTAACAAGGCATAATAAACGCCCCTTGCGTCACGTTCGCAGTGTCAGGTTATAACATCTACACCAATGAAACCCAGAGGCAGGTAATGGACTGTATATATTCATGTAAGGATCTTTACAGCTGTAGCATCAAAATATCACTATTTGTATCCTCACATCACCAATCGACTGCTGCCAGTCTAGCCACGACAGCTGCTGGCAAACATATTAGGTGCGAGGCTGTCGACGGGACCACAAGCAGCGTACTCGCCCCGGCGAGCGTCGCGCCGTCGAACAACCTCGCATTGCATTGATGTATTTGTCACTGGCACTCGCTCAGTGCATTGTAACCCCATACTCCATAGTTTCCCACACTGAGTCTCCCGATAGACTACCTAACGGCACCACTCGTCTCAGCGCACACGCGAGACGAGGTGTTAAAAATTCCTTCCAAAGTGTCAGTTTGACCAGTTTCCACATAATCGTCTCCAATAGCATACTCCCATATCAACCTACCTCTCTTAAAGACCATACTCCTTGATCATGTTTCCGGTGATGACCAGCTTCTGGATCTCGGAGGTGCCCTCGTAGATCTCCGTAATGCGGGCGTCGCGGTACAACCTCTCTGCTGGCATGTCTGACACATAGCCCATGCCACCCAGAATCTGGATGCACTGATGGGCGCAGAAGGTGGCCGCCTCAGACGCCGCTAGCTTCGACATGGCCGCCATCTTGGTGAAGTTCTTGCCCTCGTCCTTGAGCATCGCCGCCTTGTACATGAGCAGGCGGGCCGACTCGGTGCGAAGCTCCATGTCGGCCAGCTTTGACTGGATCGTCTGCATCTTCAGGATCGGCGAGCCGAACGCGGTCCGCTTGGAGGCGTAGTCGATGGCGCAGTCGATAGCCGCCTGAGCGATACCCACGCCCTGCCCGGCGATGCCGATTCGGCCGTTATCCAGTGTGCGCATCGCGATCTTAAAGCCGTCGCCCTCCTTACCGAGCAGGTTTTCCTTGGGGATCTCGCAGTCTTCGAAGATGAGGTTAGCCGTGGAGGTAGCGCGGATACCGAGCTTGTCCTCCTTCTTCCCCAGCGAGAATCCCTGCGTGGGCATTGGCACGATGAAGGCGCTGATGCCGCGGTGTTTCTTGGCCTTGTCGGTGGTGGCGAACACAATGGCCGCCGACGACTCCCAGCTGTTGGTGATCCACGCCTTGGTGCCATTCAGCACCCACCGGTCGCCCTTCAGCGTGGCCGTCGTGGAGGCGGCGCCGGCGTCCGAGCCGTTACCCGGCTCGCTGAGACCGAAACAGCCGACAAGCTTACCGTCTGTGAACGGCTGCATCCACTGCTTCAGCTGCTCCGGCGTGGCGTGGTACTTGAGAGGGCCGAGGTACAGCGAGTTGTGCGCCGACATGATGGTGCCAGTGGCGGCGCAGCCGCGCGACAGCTCCTCCATGGCAACGGCGTAGGACATGGTGTCCAGTCCGGCTCCGCCATACTCCTCGGGTGCGTCGATGCCCATCAGGCCGAGCTCACCCATCTGCGTCACGGCCGCCGCCGGAAACTCGTGCGCCTTGTCGATGCGCGCCGCCGCCGGAGCCAGCACAGAGTCGGCAAAGTCGCGGCACGTCTTCTGCAGCATGCGGTGCTCCTCAGAGAGCGTGGCCAGGCCGCGCTGAGTCGAGGCCGGCCCAGAGAGGCGCGGGGCGGCGCGCAGCACTTGACGCAGTGGAAGCATGACGGCTAGTGTGCAGACAGGTGCTATGTAGAGAATGCCAGTGCTACCACACTACAGCAGGACTTTACTTCTGAAATGGAAGGTCATCTGAGTCAGAATTCCTGCCAGATGAGTAGGTGTCACACAGGCGCCAGTAAAGCGAATGGGTACACAACTTATTAGTTTATTTGGAAGGGCAGTTTTGAGAAACTGTGCTGTTGTGTTAGAGAAAAGGGATGGAGTGGGTTCCTATAAGTATGAAGGAAAACAGGTTCAGATTCATGATTAGCATACATTAGCACTAAGCTCTTCAAATATGTCAAATCTAATGATTAAATTGCAGATATGACTAGAAAAATTATGATTTATAATGAAAAATATGAGCAGATATCTAAAACTTGTCTTATCATTTCAAATAATAAGTACACAGGAAATCAACTATCTATGCATCAATGTTTCAATCTAAACCAAAAGAAAGAGATGATAAAAATAAGGTGACTAACTGTGGTATGTGACTGAAATTTTGGAAATGGACATAAATAAATGCAGTAGGTAACAGGCACAGCATCAAACATCAGGATTCCTGCATTCAACTTTCCCTATACATCACACTACAAAGAACTAAGAAGTGAAATAAGAGTTTTGGCTTTCTGGGCTTTCTGATTTTATGGTTATTTTGGGGGCATTTGGCACAACACATTTTTAATTGACGTATGAAAACAAAAAAGTTTTGAAGATTGCTAAGATTAAGCAATTTTCCAATGCTTGAACTGTATCATAAGGCTCTAAGTGTGACATAATAGTGCTCATGTATAGCCATCTCTCTAATGAATATGATGTTATGTAACACTATGGATTGGTGCTTTATGGGAGAAATAATCCAAAAATGGACTCTTAAAGGAAAGAAACTATAGTGAAAATACACCCTTGAATAGATAAAAGTATTGCATGTTTTGACAAATATGTAACAGAAATGAAAATATGCACTGTCAAAATATTAGCTACAGCACTCGGTCAGTTTCTAAAATGTCAGACCCACCACAACACTGATAGGTACTAGTTTGGAGTAATACATGCTTTGAAAAGTATGCTATGACTGCATAAATTGGCACATGTCCTAGCACTTGGCATTACAGTATAAATATTGTGAAATGGAAGCCCAAATATGAGCAAATTCAAATTTGTTAACAAATCTACCAATTGATATCCTGTTACCTGTACTTCGTAATAACTTTCTATTATGATTATGATTACAATTAGCACCAATTGTTATGACAGCACACTGACCACATAAATCTACCATGAGATACATAACATATTGAATTGAAAAGTACTAATAATGAATGATTTCATTCTTCATCGAAAAATGAATAAAAAGTAGTGAACTCCCCCAAAGACAAAAAGGAAAAAAGGTCCCCCTGACCCAAAGTTTCCACAAGGTAAAGCAAAGGAACTATCCAGTGCTTCCTTATTTCGCAAATATTTCACTTGTAGCACAAAAACGCACCTGCAGTACCCCCAAACGAACCCTTGAACGCCTTGAACGAACCCAAACCTCAAAAGCCAGAAACTATTGCACTGCACCGCATACAACACTACAAATTGTAACCACCGATACTTGTAGCGGTTTCGCCATATTTGCAACAATTTTTAAGAGATGGGAAAAGTCTTAAAAGTACAGTAAATAATCAGCAAAAAAAATTATGTTGTCCGCATGAAACCTGAGAGCAATACGAAAAACGTTTTTAATTCCTTAATTTTATTGGATTTAATACAAAAAAGTAGATTTTTATCATCGATTCACAAAAATGCAAAAGAATAGATAGTACCGAGTACTATGAAGTGAAGCTGAAGAATATCGTTGTCCGTCTCTACATTTTCTGCTCCTTCGTCTCCAATACTGACCATAAAGGTACGAATTAAAATTAATATTTTTGCATGTTTTTTGCTAAATCGAGGAGCATTTCATGTTTTCTCTTCTTTTTAAATCGCTACCGAAATGACTCTTAGTTGTTTTTACTACTTATAAACCGTAGAATAGACAGGATTTAGGAGAGCCTCAGAAACGCAGGCATCGTGGTCAATATATTTCATTGATTTTTATATGCTAATGTCCATCAAAATGTGGGCATTGTGTTTTTGAATAAGTAGCTGCGGGTGTCCAATAGTTTTGAAGAGAATATTCTTGTCTATTCCATTTTTAGTTTTTGTGCAACTCGTGCTCGTATGATTAAGAGCATTCAGCTTCCGGATAATCAGGGATAATTTTCCAGGATCACCTGGATCATTTAGTGTTATAGGCTGAAACCATGCACGACGAACATGACAATTAGTGAAAGAGCTATCCGTGAAAATCAATCTAGAAATGTGACTGATTCAAATTGCACTGAGGGTCCCTGCACTGCAAGGCAAGACCAAATAACCACTATCACTATTAATCCTGGATAATTATCCCTCATTTTCCAATTGCAGAAGGCAAGCCGAAGCCAAGTTGGTCATTTTGATAGAATGCTGAATCAAATGTGGTAAATTCAGTTTTGTTATCATTTAGCTCATTAAACTAAAACTGGAAGCCAATTTAAATGCTGGACAAAAGAAACATCATCATGCTTCGCTATTTCATTTTCATTTTCCTGGTTTGGAGCTTCTTGCTGGGTTCCATGAGTGTTTTCATGATTTGTTAGATTGTCAATCTGACAATTTTTTTCTTCAAAATAACATGCGATTCAACTTACTGCATTATGGAGGATGATGAAAGATTGCTGCTTCCATGGGGAAATGGGTTACGATCTTTGGTGGAGAGGGCTGTGGCTGTACAGCAGCTGGAAAATGATGCCGGCATATTTGTAACCTGAGACTCTTGGGGCCGTATTCACGTCGATCATTTTCGTAAGAATTTCCTTAAGTTTGACCTACTTCCTAAGTAAATTTTTTTAATCACGTGAACTCCGTCGATAAAAACTTAAGAAGTGTCGACGTGAATACCAAATTATACTTACGAAAGAAAATCGACTTACGAAGTCGACGTGAATACGGCCCCTGGAGTACATTTTTATGTAGATAGATTTGACCTAACAAGGTGAAGGAAACTGGTGGAAGGCTCCTAATTAATTTGACAATGGGTAAAAATATGGCTCCAAAGTTGAAGCACTAGGCCCATACCACTAATTTAGCAGGTACCGGTAGTCATTGTGCCCATTATTGGGCACATGAGTAATTCTGCCTGTATGGAATAACTGTGTTCACCTAAGAAATTGAGTATATGAGGCCTCTTTGGGAGGGACTGCCATTATAAATGGAGTAACCATTGATTCTACAACAGTGGAGATCAGGATATGTTTGTATCTATCTACTGTGTGTGCCTTAGAACATCATTGAGCCTTGTCACGCCAATTGTAGTGGATCCTGAGCTTTTAGTAGGCATCTATATATCCTCTTCACTTCAGGATCTAGGTACAAGTAGTTTAAACTTTCAAGTGTGTTATGTGTGCAGTGTGCACACTGCACTGTAGCTGGAATGCAAAATGGGAATTAGGTGACTGTGGCATCAGGCATGATAATGTTATTTCAATCAACCATCCAAGTTCCAATCTCATTAGGTTTATTAGCTGTGCTTATGTGTTATGTATGTCACTAGCTACAACATTGTATTATCACAAGCCACAAGTGTGGCAGGTTTAAGTTGTGTTGTGCATCTCTTTTAGTAGAATCATTTTCTAATAAATGTTTGCAATAATCATTTCATGTTGATTTCCAATCGTGGTTTCCTTGCTCTACTGTCTAGGTAGACATAGGCTTCAGCTTGCTGGCAAAAAAGATGTAAATACCCACATGATTTGTAAAAGAGCCACAGCTTCTGGGTAAAGATTATGCTTATGAAGTAAAACGGTTAATTTCATTTGCACTTTAATTATGGCCAAGTTTCACGGCAATCACGGCACTTCGCAACCCGCCGGGTTTTATGGAAACTTCGGCAACTTCATTGGTAACCGAAGTGCTAATACCCGAGAGAGGCCGTCGGCCGATGGAGTCATGACCTGATGCACTGCCTGGTGTGCATTGGGGCAACCAAGACAAAAACTATATCATAAGGTCTCGGTGCAACCCGTCTACTAGACCGGTGAAGCCCGGCCTATTCTTTTCCATGGCGTCTTTTCACGTAGCACCACCATTTTCCGTAGTTGTTATTACGATATATACTTTCCCGAATCCGATAGAAATTCTGGGCTATTGGATGATGAAGATGCTTATCAGTTTTTTTCTTTTTTTATACATCATTATGTCATGATGATATACATACATGTATATCATCGTGCTCACACAGACTGACATAGTGACTCCCACTCACGGACTTAACTGGCCGCAGCTGCCAGCTACACCCATATATGGCAGACAATCATCTCCAGGCTCTCACCATTGGAAATCAGACGCTTTATCAGCGTGGCTCTGGACATGTTCGTGATTGTCAACACAAAGTGCATGGATTTAAAATACATGACCATTGACCGTGCACGTTCACGGTTTAGTGGCCATCCATATGTTGATTTGTTTTATGTGGAAGTTTTTGTATGTGCACTATTGGAAGAAGCATTTTACCTCTCTCTTTCCCGTTCACATCTTGTGACGTATAATATACTTTTTAGTTTTTCACAACTACCTCAATGAATTAATATAATATATGCATCAGTTCTTACCAGAATCTTGTCATTCTTAGAACCATGGCGGGCGCGGAGGAAGCCAAGTTCACCGGCATGGCCAAGTACTTCAACAGCTACACCATGTTTGGACGGGCTAACGTGAGTACCAGTCGTCTGCCAAAGGGAGAGGGGACGGTTTTTCCTGACTCCTCAGTGGGCAGAGTGTCTGTTTATTGTTGTCTTTTGGAGAGACAAGTTTTAAACCTCTCGAGGCTGAATCATCGATTCGGTCACCGGGTGTTTTCCCCAGTTGGTATAGCGCAACACTTCAACCATTTTCTGTAGTGCTTAATTCAGTTTGTCATCCGGCGACCGTGTTGAAAATAATTAAACCTTCATATCTTCACGCTTTGTTCTCATAAAGAGGACTTGGAACCAGCCTCATTTTAATTTTGCCGTGCCATTTGTTGCATCCTTTGAACACTAAACACCGAGCAGTCTTATAATGTCATGCAAACGTATTTGAGCTGCCATATTAGTTTCGTATTATGTCAGCCTTTATTCATCTCGAATTAATTGTTTGTTGTCCGTTTGCAGGTTGCAAAAGCCACGTACGCCGCAATGGCCGTTTTCTTCGTATACTACAAGATGAAGCCTGCTAAGAAGTGAACGCGTTCATGTTATCCTCTGCCCAATTTAGATAGATTTATATGTCATACGAATAAACCACAAGTGAGACATTGTTTACATATTTACGAGTACTTGTATTTTTTTTTTTTGGGTGCCATGCTTTTGCAAAACATAAATTTCGTTGATATCTCAAAAGGTTGATATATAGCTTCACTCCACTCGCAATTTCGCGGGGGCACTTATTGATCAGAGCCAGTTTCAATCAAGAAGCTCAGATGACGTCTCATTGATTTAGAAGAGCGTAGCCATCGATCATTGGTACTAAATCACGCAAGCACGAGGACAATGGACCATAGATATACATAATTATACATACGGCAGCACAGCGATAATTTTACACCCAATGCTACTAGCTACCCAATCCAAAGGTGTGATTAACTGGTTATGTAGCCAGAATTGTACTGCACCGTCTGGCTCAGTTAAGCCATTTAACTATCGATTTTCTGGTCCCAAACTGGCGTGCGGTTCATCGACCGCTGGAGTCATGTCTGAGTGCGCGGGTCGGTCAGTCTCGGGCGCCGCTCCCACTTGAGGGTTTCCTCCCGCCTCGGAGACAATTCACGACACCGGCGCGGTCACGAAACGTCTCCCCTGGGACGTCGTCTGACACGTATTGCCACGTGTTCACGTGGCTCGACAGACACCGGCGGACTGGTATATGGGGGCGTGGTCGTAGCGGACATCCGCCGATGGAACGATAAATTTCTTAAAACTCGGACGCCAGCGAGGGTACCAGCGAATAACACGGCTGTCGTTCTCGGAAGTATTGATCCGGCGGTGGGGTTGAGCCTTAGTATATCCCTTCAGTGAAATTGGTATTACTACTGCAAGCGCTGACACCTGGATTAAAGTGGCTCTTTACATACAGATCACACAACAATCGAAACTAATCCACCAGTCATTTCATGACGCACTGTGTGCTATATTACACGATAACACCTTCCGTAACAGCACACTACTTCACTTACCCAAATTGGAAACCCAGCCTTCATACACATGCACAACATTTCACAGCCGACAGGGTGTGCCCAGCGGTGGTGACCCACTGCACGCATGCAGCTCGGCGCCAAACACCGGCCACATGACCTTATTACGGGCTCGAGCGGCGGCGCCGCGTCGTCGTTTCATTGGTGGCAATATGGGTCACCGTGCGTGATAGGGGAAAGGTCACGACTGGCCGGCACAGGTCACGCCTCACGGTATCATCGGGACATCGACTGGCCGCGTGATATGAGTCTAGTTGCAGAGACGAGGGGGCGCGAACAGGGAGGTATTTTGATGTAGGTACGGTTAGACAAGGCATGCGAGCAGTAAATGCTTCAAGCGATATGTAATACGTTGGCAGTGGCAAGTGATCCATTTCGATTCCACTGACCACATGTGGCAAGTCCTCACAATCACAAGACGCAGCTTACACTGAACAACCGTCAACCACTGCAAGACTTCTGTCAGGAGCAGTCACGTAGACAGCGACATAGAAAAGTCATTGGATCGGGTCAGTTGATACAACTGATATAGGTGTCATCCATCGGTGGTAACTGATACTTTCCGCAACGCAGCCTGCTATTCGTAATACTTCTTCCTGTCCTGTTCCACCGTCGGCCTAAACCGTCCTCTCCTCAGTTGATTGTTGAACCTGAGTAACCTCTTCCTGTGTGCCTTTTTGCCGCCCTTCTCCCCCGTGTTTGATTTCTTGCCCCAATTATCCTTTAGCTCGGTGGCTTTGTCCACACCCTTCTCGGAGAGTTTGGACAGTCCGATGGCTCCAGCGACCGCTCCGATCAGGCCTCCGGCTAGTCCTCCTATCACCATACCGATGGGCCCGCCGGCGACACCCAGAGCGGCGCCCGTCTGGCTGCCAGTCACCCCTCCGGCGTAGCCGCCTGCCCAGCTGCCGGCGATGGAGGCGCCCGTCCGCGCCGAGTGTCGGCCCAGGCCTCGGTCCTTCTTCACGGCCAGACCCATACGCGCGGCGTCTAACGCTACGGCCACCGGCGCCACGGCATGGTTCAGCTTCGAGGCCACGTCCCAGGTGGTGCGACTGGTGAGCACGCCCGGTACGCCGCCGCCCGGGGCCAGCAGGACCGTCTCGGGCCGTAGCGGGGACGGTGGCGTGGCGCCGGGAGGTCGCTCCGAGTGGAGACGCGCCGCCCGCATTGGCCGGTGCTCGACGGCCCGGGCACGGCGGCGTAGATATCGGCGCCAGGAGGCCGCCCGCCGGTCCCAGCTGCGGGCCGAGGTCACCCGCCCCCGCCCCCGACCCCGCCCCCGACTGTGGGACTGGGGAGGCGGGTGGCGGGCCACGGCAGTCATTGCAGGTCACTCAGCCGGTGTTCGATCACCAGAACCGTGTCGCGTGACACCACTGGATGACGTCGTAACCGGCTTGGCTCCGTGCCAAAACGGTCGCAGCTGCTCGTCCAAGGCTGGAGGGCTCGAACGCTGAGAGAATTACACCACTTATTTGATTCACTTGTAGTTCAAAGTATCACAGACACTATACCCACGTCCAGCCACGAATTTTACCCAGCGAAACACAGCACCGCACACCGCTGACCGACCCGCGTTCGCTCCACCGTATGGTGCAAGTCGTAAAACAGCTGTCTCGCAGTCAGCTGATGCGCCACAGGTTCGGACGACTCGGCAGGAGGGCGTCGACCGCGCGATAACACCACTGCACGTTTCTACCGCAACGACCGCGCCCGTATCGGCGGGGCTCGGCTCGCTCCGCGGCCCGCTGGGAGTCCGCCGGCCACGGGCGACACTCGTGCACTGTCGACGGTTCGGAGGCCGCCCGCCGTGTGTTACAGCAGCGCCCGGTCGAACCGATTCACCGGTCTGTGACGTCACAGGGACGGACGCCGGCGGCGCCGCTGACCGCCGCGACGGCCACTGGCCGACTGGTCCCGTCGACCGGTCACGCACTGGCGCACTGGACAGGTGGTTCAGTAGAATGAACGAGTCGGCCTCCGAGGAAATTTACCCGTGTGAGGAGGTATTTCCCTGGGGACGAACCGGCGGTCGAAGGCTCCGCGGACGGCACACAAGTTTGAGTAGGTTGAGAATAATTTCGCGCGGTACTGCTCGAATGTTCTGTACAAAATCAGGCCACATAGGCGGCATCAATTATTAAGTTTGTTGCATTGGATGATTTTCGGGTCGACGACCGACGTCCGTTTTGTAGAAGTGAAAAGCTGAAATTGGCCTAAATACACTAACACGAAAATACGTGCAAGAAGTGGCGTAGGCGTTCTCGTTTTTTAGGGCTCGCTGAATCGTTCTATGAATGAATGACTCGGATATGGTGGGTCCAGGAAATGCGGTTAGGTATGCGAGAAGCAATTCGAAAATGTTCAGGAATGATCCGTTGGGGTGGCAGAATCGATATAACTACCCATAGAAAACAAATGATCAATAAAACTCGTGGTTGAGAGACGAATGCATTATGCACATAATATCGGTGTCACGCATGCCTGGCCGTGGCTTTTGATAAACGGTGAAACGTATACGTTTTACATTCGTATACGTTTTCCACATACCTATAGGCATGTGCTTAGCTGTGCTCTCGCGAACCTGTAGGCTGTAGTCGAAGGTTTAGGCCAGTTTTAGGGGGGTAGGGGTGGCAGATGCCGGATCATGCGAATGACCAATTCGCGTCAGAGTCACTACTGGACACTGAGCCGGGAGGCGGGAACCTGGGCCGATGCAGACGCTTGGAGTGCTTAGGTACTGCTTATCTTACATTCCTATTGGAATCCGGCCTGCCGACTGTTTCCGTTCTGTAATATTCGGCCCGCACTCTTGATTGCCGCGTGCCGACCCCATCCCTATCATAGATGATGTATCGTTGCATGCAGTGATGAGATCAATGGCATAATCTCGCTTTGCCGCATAATCTCCATGGTAGCTGTGATGGTAGGTAGCCCGCACAGGGAACTCCTCACGCTCCTCACAAACATGAAGGATTTCCTTCTCTCATTGAGGGCTGCCATATTTTTTGGAATCAATGTTTTGATACGATTGTTGCGCAGCTGAGACGTTTAGCTGCTTTGCCAGCACTGAACTCTATAATGTTTGCCAGGAATGTGAATACACAGATGTTACGTATATACTGCCTTGGGTGTTACCAAGGTGTTACTGGAGAAATACCGGAAAATATCACTTCCTGAATCACAGAAAGTGCGTATCAACTTATCATTCAATCAGTGTAATGGCTGAAACAGACTCTTTCCACATTCAGGAAATCGCTTGCGAGAGCCTATTTTAAATGCAATTATAATTCTACCCGCATCAATCGCAAGTATCGCAACTATAAATGATTCATGATAACCTAGTCAAAAGCTCGATATAAATAATTGAGTTAAAGTTTTGGATCTGCTTACAACTATGAGCCAAATTGAAATGCCGCAGCCTGCAGCCAGTACATGAATGTAGGCCAGTGCATGGATTAGGTAACTAATAGAAATCTAATTAGTCAAGTTATTTTTGAAACTTGCCTGAGGTTTGCTTTAGGGTTGTAACATTGACACAGGATTTAGGAGTCTGAGCCCATCAAGTGTTTCAGTTTCAGGCAGAGGAACATTTGTAATGCCCTTTTAACATATTTTGATAGAATTATCAGATATTTTTTTAACTGGTTAGCTATTTGATTCATTTCTCCTTGGCACAAATTTTGCAATTGTGTGGTATGACCTGTCATCTCCACCTCAGAAGTCAATCACACCTTGCTTGAAAAACACATCCTTTTACCTACATTGTCTTGCTAACCTCACCTAACACTGCCTAACACCTACCTAACTAGCACCTATTATGCTGCATTTCAATCCTTAGTTAGGACTTAGGATTGCAGCAACTTGCAATGTTATGTTTCTTTGGGACTTGGGTGTAACTATAACTTATAAGGTTTACTCGAGTATGTTGCTTGGATATGGATAGAGCCCGCCGGTAGAGGGAGTGGCACTGCTGGGCAACTGATAAGTGATATTGGTAGCAGCATATAAAAGTCGGGCACACTGTGGTATTTCCGATCCATTTATGGAAACGTTTCCATTTTTGGAACGATGTTCCAAAAATGGATACGCCGTTTCCAAAAATAGAAACGGTCTGTTCCATAAATGGAGACGCTGTGTGCATCGCTACCTTTAAAGCAAACTGGGCATTGATTGGTGCAATTTGGCATGCGCAGGATGCCACCAATCGACAGCCAGCATTCTAGTTTATGTTCCTGTTCTCCGACTTTCCGATCAGAAAACCGAAAGTTGACGAACGAGGCGATGCTTATAACATGTTGACGTGATAAAAAAATTCACACGTTTTTCTAATCGAAAATAATAACATTTATGAATGTTTTGAACAAAAAATAACGTTTTTAACAGACTACTGAAAGGCTGGCCCATTGATTGGAACAACAACATCACCGGGAACTTCAGTTTTTCATTCATTTTCACGCTGCATTTTCCGGTGTACCAGCGGCCTGGTGGTCGTCAATCTGTGATTAAATCGCATGAAAGTTGTTGCAAAGCCCTATTTGGAGACTTTAGTGGGCATTTTATGATATTTCAAATGTGCTGAATATGATCGTAGGCTCGGATCAACGTAAATCTCCGTGCAAATACGTAAAAAGCAGGATGGAAATAAGGTCTGCACTGTCGTCACACCAAATACCGTTGTATTCTGACGATGAATTTATTCATTCTAGCTCATGTGTAACATTGATATCAATTTTATATATTGAAATGATATCTACGCTTTATGTATTGCCCACTTTGGACCACATTTGTCCAGTAGTTTCTGGGAAATCTTAGTTTTCAGGGCATATTTTAACAAATTTTTACTGCGTCCCAAAGTTGAGCAGAGGGCACGTGCTACGACTAAGGGCACAGGGCAAGGAACAGAGTAGGGCACTGAGGAGGGCAGAAAGTAGGGCACGACAGGTTACAGGGCATGGCACAGGACATTTTAGAGGGAAGGGTACAGGTCAGGGCACACAGCAGGGCACAGTTTAGGGAACCGGACAGGGCACAGGGCAGGGACGCAGTCGGTCAAATCAGCAGGTGCTACGTCCCAAGGCGAGGGGGCTGCGTCCCAGAATGGGACGCAGTAAGTGCCTTAAAATATGCCCTGTTAGTTTTAGTTGAATTTTGGACGTGCTTAAGTTGTGGCGCGTAATGTATTATTATGGAACCTGACGTCCAAGGTAACTGCCGAGAGCCGAGATGATAAACCAGTCCCAAAACATCAAATTTTTAGTTGCATGTGAATTTTAAAAACACATTTAAGCTAAGTTTGCACACATTTTAACTTCAGCGTTTCTATTTTTGGAACATCGGCGTTTCCATTTTTGGAAACTAAGTCTCCATAAATGGATACGATTCAGGAGCATTTTGAAGTGGTGAATTTGAATGCATACGACAGCTTTCCATGCAAGAAGACAAGTGCTTTTGGTGTATCTGTGCTTGTTTTACGCGAAACAGTGGTTATACATCAAATCCAGCCACCCTTGGCAAGAAAATATGTGCGGAGATGTTAGCGTTTCTATTTATGGAACGAGCGTTTCCATTTTTGGAACAGAAGAGTAGTCAAAATTGGAAACGTTTCCAATAATAGAAACGTCTCCATAAATGAATCGGAGATACCACAGTGCGCCCGACTGATATATGAATTTATTACATTGAACTGGCAAGATCTACCACATCTAATCTAGTAATCTTATCTAAAAATTAACCCTAGAACGCCTAGGGGGGGGGTTGTATCAACCCCCCCCCCCCCCTGAGGTTTTTTCGAAGTGCACGCTAAACGGCTTGTCGTAGCGGGCTGAAATTTTCCATACCCTCTGGGGCAACCTTTGCGCATCTTTTGCCGAAAAAAATTGATCGGGTCATGTCAGGTCACGGAGTTATGACGTCATAAGAGGTACAGCCTCCGGCCGGATTTTCACAAACTGAGTGCCAACGCCCGAGGTTTCCTGCCGGTGGTACGGACATCGGTTGATGGATCGTGATGAAACTTCCCATGCATGTTGGGGCAAGTATTGGCTATCATATGGTATAAGAAATTTGACCGGGTCAGGTCAGGTCACGGAGCTATGACGTCACAAGAGGAACAGCGTCCGGTACTATTTTTGAAAAGCGCCCGAACCACTATTTTGCTAATTCTTGTCACCTCAATGGGAATATGCAGCAATATTAGCTTCTATAGGGAGCAAATGGACCTCCCAAATCCAAAAATACAATCAGATTTCAAAAATTTAAATTTTGATTTTTCGAATTTCTGCCGCCGACTGTGACCTTGCCGACTTCCGGCGCTCCCAACGCGCCATTTTTAGAGCTAGGGAAACGAAATACATACCAAACGATAGAGAATTGATCAAGGAACACGATAGTGAAGGTTTCAAGTCGATATTTCCCACCGTTTTGCCGCAATCGCCGCTGAAAGTTGAAAAAAGTCTATTTTTCCGAAAATTTGACCTTTGACCGGTCAAAAGTAGGTCAAATGTTGACCTAGGACCAAAAAATATACCACCAATCGCGAGATCTCGTTGAGAGCAATCCGTTGGTTTTTTCCGCTAAGCTCTACGACCTTCCGTTTCGAAACGCCAGGGGGGGGGGGTCGTAACAACCCCCCCCCCCTGGTCGTTCGTGTTATGAGAAATGGCCTGGTCGTGCGAGGGTTAATGCATAGCTGTTGAGTGGTGGAGACCTATACACAGCATACAATGCTCACTCCTCCATAGTTTCTTAAAGACATTACAGAAGTGAAGTACTCCAGTATAATTCAAGCATATTGATCATTGCACTTATTGGAACTTGGAACCTTTTGAAGTAATCTGCAATTACCATATTTGATGTTAAATACTATAACTTTTTTATAGCATCACTTCTTATCATTTGTCAGGGCCATTTTTAATTCCTATTTTCTGTTCATTACAGAATAATAGCAATGGCATCGAATAGCTCTGATACACCCAGACCTAAGCTGGTAGTATTTGATCTCGACTACACCCTGTGGCCATTCTGGGTGGACACACATGTAACGCCTCCATTTCACAAGAAGGGTGGCGATGTGTTCGACTCGTTCAACGAGAAAGTGAGGGCGTTCCCGGAGGTGCCGGACGTGCTGCAGTGGCTCCACGACGAGGGCTACATCATCGCAGCCGCGTCGCGAACCGGCGAGATCCGCGGGGCCAAGCAGCTGGTCAAACTGTTCGGCTGGGAGAAGTACTTCAAGTATGCGGAGATCTACCCGGGCTGCAAGAAGAAGCACTTCTCGCGGTTCCGAGCTGAGTCGGGGCTGGAGTACTCGGAGATGATTTTCTTCGATGACGAGGGGCGGAACATTCGAGATCTGAAGGAAGTGGGAGTCGTCTCGGTGCTAGTGCCACACTCAGGGGTTACGCGGAAACTCGTGGAGCAGGGTCTGGCTCAGTTCGCCAAACAAAGACGGGTCGGGGTAGAGAAATGATAGGATGTTGTAGAACACTAGAACTTTCAACTATGTATGACGTTTTTCATTGTCTTCATTCAAGTTATTTATGCTTTTGCTTGGATAGATGCCTCCTAATAAACCGTGAGTGTTCTTCTCACTAAATGTTCTTCTCACAAAATGTTAGTTTTTGTTTTGTCCTTGCGTGTCTTGCAATCATGTGTCTGAGCACATTGTTACATGTACAGCCCACCGCTAAAGTAATGTAGGGTTTTACCAATCTCAACGGTTGGGTTTGACTGGCGATTGTTTAATGCGGAGTGATCGAAAAGAAGATGTCAATAGCTAAAGTTGCTGCTGCAAGGGTGACAATACATATAAGCTACATTCAAAGTTTCATTGTAGTCTGGTTAATCGTTCCTAAGCTTCAGAAGCAGAACATACCCATGACTGAAACCCCACATTACTTCTGCTGTGGACTGTACATACTGTGTACATTTATAATACCTACTTGAAGGTAATTTGTTAAAGTGTTTCTATTTTTTTCTTTTATGCCGTATCCGGTATCACAATGCTAGTTAATTATAGCGTAATGCGTCTCGGGAATTTCAAATCCAACTCCCAGTATGTATGATGCCTTTCACCCGCCGGTGCTGTACTACGAACCACGAAGCCTCATTTTTGTGACTGCAGTTTTTGATGTGGCAGTCATTGATAATTGAGAAGGCTCTGCAGCAACGATACGCGTAATTGTTGCGGTTTCAATGTTTCCTCCTCGTGGATGAGAATCCGTATCATGGACATTTCGAATCGGTTTTGTTTATCCATGTTTATCCAAAAATAACAAGTGATACATTCTCCAAGTCTTTGCATCGACAGGGAGCTTCGTTTTGCGCTTGTGAAAGTCTTATTTGTCGTGGAAGATTGTGATATGTGATATTCTGCATAGTACCCATAGTACTAACACCGTACGCAAACCGAGCAGGCATGTCGAGAAAATTGCGGAAATCTGAATGAATTGTTATATACAGGGATGCGGAGCCGGAACCGGAGCCGGAACCGGAGCCTCCGGAGCCGGCATATTTTGCCCGGAGCCGGAGCCGGAGCCGGAGCCGGAGCCGTGAAACAATATAGCCCGGAGCCGGAGCCGGAGCCGGAGCCGCCAAAAAAGGGGCGACTCCGGCTCCTTTTCTTAAGAGGAAACAATTATTTACCTAGTTCGGTTTGACAGTACAAGGCGTAAAACAATGTGGTATTCAAAATAGCCTTGTTATACAAATACAGAAGCAACGTGTACCAATCCCATCGCCTTTTTTCTTCCACTCGTATTTAATTGATCGCATAGGGGATGTACTGAGTAGAAGCCACAGCCGGAGCCGCCGGAGCCGGATCATTTTACTCGGAGCCGAAGCCGGAGCCGGAGCCGCCATGACATTTCAACCGGAGCCGGAGCCGGAGCCGATTTTTTTCTCCGGAGCCGGAGCCGGAGCCGTCCGAAATTTCCACGGCTCCGCATCCCTGGTTATATATTCATAATTCATCCACCCACCGACAAAGGTCGGCCTCACCAGTGCATTCCAGTCCACAACACACATTGGTCAGACTGAGTTTCTAGAAGTAAGAACGCCAAGATATGGCGCCAAATCTGAGTTCAGCCGAAATGATAAGCAGTGGTGTGTTAAGCACATACTATTTTCTTGAAATAACTAGTGTTTTGAATTCTTTTCTGTGTTATCTACGTAAAAGCGTTGACAGCTAATTTATGCTTTTTGCACGCTAGCAGTTAACATGTGTAATGTTATTGAACCTAGGGCTGCTGTTTGCGCCCAATGGTTTGATAAAGTCACGTTCTAAGCCCAAAACGTTTTCATTTCATCATTATATCGCATTTTTTTCATTCACTGTAAATTCTAGTTCGCACATAGGTTCTGTTTTTAGCTTCGACTTGTTAAATTATCCGGTTTGGGACTTACAGATAAGACTTGACTATTCATTAGAACGTAGAAAAAATCAAAATCAACAGTGTGTACTGTAGTATACATCCTTTACGCTTGAAATATTTGGTACCTACACAGTAAAACGGTGCAAAATGGCAAGACGTTGCAAGTAAAATGCAGTAAAACGGTGCAAAATTAATTGCTCATTGAAGATGAATGTACTTTATGTCGCGACATTTTCATTACTGGCCTTCATCAATGTCTGCCTCTCCCAAACCACTGAAGAGGCGCCTCGGTCTGTGGCAGACGCTCGGCCAAAGCTGATCGTATTCGACCTGGACAGCACTCTGTGGCCGTTCTGGCTGGACACGCATGTGGTGCCGCCGTTGCACAAGAGCAACGGGGATGTCTTCGACCAGAAGGGGAAGAAGGTGGTGCCGTACCCCGAGGTCCTCGCTGTGATGGACTGGCTTCACTCTGAGGGCTACCTTATGGCCACGGCCTCACGAACGTGGAAACAGCGGGATGCCAGACAACTAATTGCGCTGTTCGGCTGGGAAAAGTATCTGAAGTTTATGGAGATCTATCCCGGCTCCAAAATGGCACACTTCAATGAGATCAAGAAACAGTCAAATATTCCTCTGTCTGAAATGCTATTTTTCGATGATGAAGAGCAGAATATCCGGGAGCTAACTCAGCTTGGAGTTGTTTCAGTACTAGTTTCAGAGAGCACCGGAATCACGATGCAAGTTATCAGGGAAGGCTTGGCCGAGTTTGCCAGGAAACGGCGAGAGGCAGAAGACGAAATTTAAGACGTGAAATGCTCTCGAAACGATGCGTCGTGTTGTTGTTATTGATCACGACTTACCAGAAGCTTGTTATTTACCGTGTGTGGGTGACACTGAGGGTCATTAAATTCATTGTAATTCTCTCCACTGAAAGTCATTTGTTTTGAAAGGCTCGTGGCTCATCTATGCGACTCGAGCGCACTGGCGGCTGAGTATCCATTTTCAAACCGCGCTGTGAAAAGACAGCGGTCCCAGCGGAGTTCTATAGCCTTGAGCGGTCTGACAGAAGCACATCGAGGTTGGGAGAGAACGATTTCACGTCATACCCCCACCCCCACCCCACCTATATCGGCTCCTTAGTCACATGGTGATATATGGAAGACACAACTTTCAGTCTTAAAAATATCCTTTTGCGGATTTTTTTTCTTCAAATCTTTGTTTTTCAAAGCTTGAATATCTTTGGGTTCACCGCCGTTGTTTTTTTTTTCTCGTCGAAAAGTGGCAGCTTGCAAAGTTGACTGAAAGCCAAGACTCAAGGCCATGACCTGACCGGGAAAAGGGCTTGATGCGTATCAGTCGATCCGTAGGCCGTATCGTATAGTGAGCTGTCAGCTGGACACATTCCATGTGTCTGTTGTTGAAGCTTGTCTATCAAAAGTTATAATAGTAAAACTGCTCGCAACGTTTTGTGACCTATATTATTTATTTATGATTGCCCCACGCGTAAAAAGTAGGGTAAGGACGCAACATTTTGATCCGTGACTCAAACATTAATTTTAACATATATCAATTCTCTAATTTTCAAAGCAATCGCTGAGCCAGTGTAATGAAGAACTTTTTCTCGAATTAACGTCACGATGCCTGGTGATCTGACCTCGAATGACCTGGATCTGACTTATTGACATGCGGAGGCAACGTATCATAAGTGTTGATAAGCACGGCGGCTCATCTGTGGACGGACGGCTGGCCAACAGTTCACCGTTTGTTTCAGCCGGAGTCGAATGGCCTCCGAGCATCCGGGACCTGCCGCCTCTGCCCGGCCCAAGCTGCTCGTCTTTGACCTTGACCTGACCCTCTGGCCATCCATCGCCGGCACCCACCATCGGCCGCCATTTCACGAGCGGAACGGAACGGTTTTCGACTCCTCCGGAAGAGAGCTCCACCCGTTTCCCGAGTCGTCAGCAGTGTTAGAGGAGTGTCATGCCCAGGGGTATCTCATGGCAGTCGCATCACGATCGGGTGACAAGTCCAGCTGCAAGCAGCTGATGGCACTGTTCGGTTGGAGGAAGTACTTCAAATACGTGGAGATATATCCGGGATGCAAGAAGAGACATTTCTCGCGGATTCACAAGGTGTCGAAGATACCGTTGTCAGATATGCTGTTCTTCGATGATGATGGCGTCAATATTAGGGACCTGACTCAGTTGGGGGTGATGTCAATACTAGTGTCGGGCTCGACTGGAATCAACAAATACTTGGTGCACGAAGGGCTTGCAAAATTTGTTAGAGAAAGATCGTGTGGAAAAGTCGTGAGTGATAGATGCAATTAACCTGAAACCGGTTACCGATAGTCTCGGATTTGACGATTTTGACTTTGTGAAAATTTCCATGGCCTTTTATACTGTATGCCTGTTACGTTCGCTCTTGGCTTCGCGGATTTAAACTGTTTCATGCTGTTATTTATCATGACATGACATGACATGTGTGACTGACTTATTGCTCATTGAATTGTTGAGAACTTCTGAGAAGTTCAGCCAAGTGTGCCTTACGGGTCACACCTTGGTAGTACAAGTTGTGCTCATACCGCATCTCATTCTCCTCTTGCTGCTAGGATTACAACATAGCTATATTTACACTAGTCAATATTCATCCTTGTGCGTGACTTTCTATTTACCTATATTTGATAATACATAACTGAAAAAAGTATGGAATGCTTAAGTGTTTTAATTGGTAGGGAGCCGTCCCATAGAATATATCGCAAATGATGAGAGAGAGAGAGAGAGAGAGAGAGAGAGAGAGAGAGAGAGAGAGAGAGAGAGAGAGAGAGAGAGAGAGAGAGAGAGAGAGAGGAGAGAGAGAGAGAGAGAGAGAGAGAGAGAGAGAGAGAGAGAGAGAGAGAGAGAGAGAGAGAGAGAGAGAGAGAGAGAGAGAGAGAGAGAGAGAGAGAGAGAGAGAGAGAGAGAGAGAGAGAGAGAGAGAGAGAGAGAGAGAGAGAGAGAGAGAGAGAGAGAGAGAGAGAGAGAGAGAGAGAGAGAGAGAGAGAGAGAGAGAGAGAGAGAGAGAGAGAGAGAGAGAGAGAGAGAGAGAGAGAGAGAGAGAGAGAGAGAGAGAGAGAGAGAGAGAGAGAGAGAGAGAGAGAGAGAGAGAGAGAGAGAGAGAGAGAGAGAGACAGAGACAGAGAGAGAGAGAGAGAGAGAGAGAGAGAGAGAGAGAGAGAGAGAGAGAGAGAGAGAGAGAGAGAGAGAGAGAGAGAGAGAGAGAGAGAGAGAGAGAGAGAGAGAGAGAGAGAGAGAGAGAGAGAGAGAGAGAGAGAGAGAGAGAGAGAGAGAGAGAGAGATTACTTTTCGAGGGGAAAACTGACTAGGTACATTCATTGCAAATTTCTGGACATAAACTCCTCGAATATCGTTTCCTTCTGCGTTACGGTGCAATAGAAGACACTTCGCTGCCGGGACATTTGATCTGTTATCCTCCGGCCTCCCCTCCTTTGATTTGCCGGTGCAGAAGTAACACAGATGTGTCGGTGATAAATAAATGTCTATATTGCATGTATAAGCGCACCTCTCTACCACAACGTAAAGTAAATTTGGATATGGCAGCTTTTATGGAAGCCGCATTTTCCGTTCGCATTTTGGCGCTTCTCACCAGAAAATTAGTTTTGCGACACGTGGGAGAGTGGGAGTGTGTTTGGGTAAATAGCGATGAAGAAAAGTGGGAATTTCGTGTGATTAATGAGTTCAGTGTCAAAACGAACAGATAATTCGGATGCCCTATATATCGGCACGACGTGATTTTGAAGTGCGTGAATTGGGAGGAGCGATGGAATCTTCCAGAAGGAGAAGGCGGCTAGAATGGTAACAGCCGAACAATTGAGAGCGGGACACTTGCCGGGTAAGTCCTCAGTTTTGAGTTT